TGTTCTTGTTACCACGGAATGGTCAACTGGATTTGGCATGTGAGTTCAATCTAAGTGAAAAGCCACAACTTGATTTGATAGCCCTACCATGTTTTCCTAGTTACAAGCTCATGGGTCGACTCTTTTGTTTGGTGCTTTCATATTGTTGATTCCATGAATACTGGTGGTTTTGTTGTTGGTCCTTGTGACATTAGTTTAATGTCTCTTCATCTTCCAGCTCACATATGCAAGATGTTTTCCATGGGTGGAAGACGACAAAATGATACAATCTGACGCAAAAGCTTTCAATGGATCCCTTGTTTCTTGGAAGCAAACCTGTCTTTTGGCTGCCTTCTCTTCCAGAAGGTCATACCTAAAGGCTGTGCACTTGGCCCCATGGCAAGCTAGCATCTATGCAGCCACTGCGATAGCTTCAGATATGATTTCATCTATGGAGGACGAGGATTCCAGTCATGATCTGTATTCTTGGTATGATGTCAACATTCTTTGTTCTTTTTATTAATTGTTTTGTTAGAATGCCCTTATCTGTTAACTTAACATTGTTTTTTCACCCAGGCAGCTACAAGAAAAGATGGCTTTGGGAGCATTGCTACTTGAGGGTGACAATTATGAGTTTTGGGTGACACTGGGTTGTTTGTCTCGTCATACAGCATTGAAGCAACATGCTTTAATCAGGGGTTTGCAGTTGGATGTGTCATTAGCTAGTGCTTGGGCATACCTTGGGAAGGTATTCTTCAAATCTTGCTGAACACCCCCACTCCACCCTTCTTCTGTCTTTCTCCCTAACGTTTATTACACTAACTAAGAAGACTTAACATCGCCAGGATCTGCTTTATATGGCCAATCATTCAGTATAGCAATAATATTATATGGTAATTTTCATGATAAGGAAACCCTTTTCTTGATAATTATGTAAGCCATAAATATATATTTGTAGTCCCCTCTGTTAACAGCAAGAAGGTGCTGCATTTTGTCTATCACTCGGTTAGTTCAGGAAGCTGCAATCATGGTATAGGAACTCTGTCCTATCTGTGCCAGATTGGTACCAGTTTGGAGATAGAATCTTGCTGCTCCCGTAAGCCTCACCCTAGTTTCTATGCGTTAGATATGAGGTTCTGATGTCCAATTCGGATTGGTTTCTTGTGTATTATGTAGGTATTACAAACATGTTAAGAGCACAATTCATAGGCAAATGATTATCAGTTTAATTCAACATGATAACCAATGTTCTAAAATGAACCTGGAAAGTAAACAGAAACTGCCAAAGACATCAGTATTAGTAGACACTAAGATTGATCTCTAACCTGGATTCAGGACCTGAACCATTGCTTCTGACCATGACTGATTTATATTCATCAAAGAACCCTACTCAGCTTTGACGCTGACTGTTACTCAACCACTTTTGGTATGGCCAAGGGATCCTTCCTGTTGAGCGTAGATTTCATTGTCATTTCGGGTAATGTTCTAAAATGAACCTGGAAAGTAAACAGAAACTGCCAAAGACATCAGTATTAGTAGACACTAAGATTGATCTCTAACCTGGATTCAGGACCTGAACCATTGCTTCTGACCATGACTGATTTATATACATCAAAGAACCCTACTCAGCTTTCGCGCTGACTGTTACTCAACCACTTTCGGTATGGCCAAGGGATCCTTCCTTTTGAGCGTAGATTTCATTATCATTTCGGGTTGGTCTTGCTGTGGACGATATGACTTGGTTCAGATTCTGAATGCTGAACGGCCCGTGTGTCGTCCCCAACTGGGGCTATGCATTACGTTGAACTTTACATGAGGATTCTGTTTGATTGCTATTAGGCCTGGTCAGCGCTCACCTCCTTCAAAATTGCTATGGCTGAATCACAGTAGTATTGTAATTGTTGCTGCCTTTTGCAGTGATTGAACATGGAAGCAGTCTGGATGTACTGTTAGCACATTGCAGGCTGATTTTGTGATGTCTGGTTTGTTGGTTCTTCAGATCTACAGAGAAGAGGGTGAGAAGAAATTAGCAAGACAGGCTTTTGATTGTTCTCGAAGCATAGATCCATCACTTGCTTTACCGTGGGCAGGCATGTCAGCTGATTGTTTAAAGTAAGGTTGGGCATAAAATATGTTTTTGTTTACTTTCTCAGTTAAAACTGTTCCCCACATTTATAGTTATTTCCTTTGCAGGGGTCTGAAATCAGACGAGGAGTTCGAAAGCTGCTTACGTGCTGTGAATATATTGCCTGTAAATGTTCTCTTTCTCAAATTCTACTTTCTGGATATGCTTGTAGGAGAGAATTTAATTTTACATAACAGACTACGTGTTGCACGCGTTTATCTTATCTCGGCATCTCTGGTACTATGGTTTACCTTTTACTGACATGTTGCTCGAATACTCTATTTTGGGTTAATGCAGCTTGCCGAGTTTCAAATAGGTCTTTGCTATCTTGCTTTGCTTTCTGGGAATCTTGCATCTTCGCAGGTATGATTACTACTATGACTAACCTGATAGAATTATTCCTCTGCAGACTTCCGTGCAAATGAATTTTGCAAGCATATGTTAAGCAAGTTCTTTGAGAATAACGCCTGTCTATGCCGGGAAAAGCCTTACTAGGAACTCTTTATATTGTACAGGTTTACGCAGCGATCATGCAGGCAGTACAGCGATCACCTCAATCTGCTGAAGCTCATAATTTAAACGGGTTAGCTTGTGAAGCACGATTTGAGTATGAGAGTGCTGTTGCTTCGTATAGGATAAGTCGCTGCGTCATGCACAACTCTTCTTGCAAATCTTCAAAGTCTCATTTCCGAGATATAACAATCAATTTGGCTCGATCTCTCGTTAAGGTTATCTTAGTGAACTTGTAATATCTGGTGTATGCATGTTTGGTCTGTTTCTCAGTTAGTTCTTTGGTCGAACTTCAATAACACTCTTGCCTGGGGCATAATACTGTCCATGCACCATTTGATTTGTCTTAAACTTCTTGGTCACAGGCAGGGTGCGCTTTGGATGCTGTTCATGAATGTGAATATTTGGATAAGGAAGGTAATTTAGGTTTCTGTAATTGCTCTCAGGAAATGGTCCATTGGTTCATTCGGATTTGTATTATATTATGGATCTGAAGCTGGGATGGATGCATCTTTATATCTACTTGAAAGTTCAAGATGTTGCTATGCAAAAGAATGAAATTGAATGCCTCTTTATTGATCTGATTTGCATGATTCGAATGATAACTCTTGCTTCATAGCTTTAATTGCTAATCAAATGTAGTTGTATAATACACGAGGCATATTGGTTACATTGACAATTGAAAGATGCAATTTGTCTGAATGTTTTTTATTTATGTATTTAGGTATGTTGGATACTGAAGGAATGCAGATCTATGCTTATGCTTTATGGAAACTTGGGGACAACAACCATGCCCTTGTTGTAGCACGTGCTCTAGCTGCTTCTGTTTCGACAGTCGGGAAAATATCTACATCTGCTATTGTTAGTTTTATCAGCAGACTGCTTTATTGCATTTCTGGAATAGATCTAGCAATCACAAATCTGCTAAAGATGCCGAATGAAGCCTTTGACAGCACAAGCGTTAGCCTAGTAGTGCGCGCTATCCATGCTCTTGACCAGAGTACGAGGCTTCAGTCAACTGTTTCAAACAGATGTTATCTCCTTTTTTCTGGTGCGGAGGCTGTCGAAATGAACTATTTGATGGCACTTGCTGACCTGGTAAATGTCAGTCTGTTTGCAGCATCTTGGCTTCTGACTTCTTTTCTTTTGGCTGATGGTTGATCTTTTATTTGTTGGTATTTGCTTGTTGTTTTTGGCATGCAGGTGAAACATGGATCTGGTGTTCACCTTGCATATGGATGTGGCATTACTCAGCTGAGAAGAGCTCTCCACCTTTACCCTAGCAGCATCTTGATCAGGTAGCATACAACTTGAAAAAGGAAAACATGCAGATTATTCTTTCAAGAGCGCCGAAACTCTTGGAGTCTTCATATAAGTGATTTCAACAAAAAACACATTTTTAGAATGTTGTTTTTCTTATTAGCTTCCACTCTACCCTTGGCCTGCTCAAGGAGTTTGATATTTGATTGATAATTTTGTATGAACATGGTGTGGTTATGACAGCCTGGTGAAGGCAGCTGCAATTTCTAATTCTGTGAATTAGTAAAAATTTGAATTTGGGTATTGTAGTTGCTCCTTGAACTAGGTAAAAAATTTTTTACAGTACAGACATCTTGTGATAACCGCGGAGAGAAATGTCGAGGAACTTGAGAATAGTGGAACTTATCATATGAAAACCATATTTTGTAAATATTTGTCTGCTTGTTTTTTCTTCTTTATGTAATACTCTGATGCAAATGCCGTGGATGCAGAAACCTACTAGGGCATCTTTTGCTATCTAAAGAATGGAAAGACACTCATGTAGCAAACAGGTGCTGCATAATACGTGCGCCATTTGGACCACGCAAAGACGGCTTAAGATCAGGATATGACATTCTTGGTGCTGCTACGGTATCTTGCTATTCTAGTGGCAGTCAGGACCAAAAGTTAAGTTTCCCCGCATGCAATTGTATGTGTCAGGAAACTCCAAGAACCATCCACGAATTGCAGAAGTATGTGATTTTAGTTTGGTTAAATTTAATGTCTTGCTTTCACTAACAGATCATGCTAATTAGTAGCCCAAAACAGATCGTAAAGAAAAGCTGTGCCTGTCTGTGTTTTCTCTCATCTAAATTTTTTTTGTATAAGAGAAGCAAAATGATGGGTTGTCTCGTCTAAATGATCAATTATTTGTTATAAAGTACAGTTTGATAAGATTGGAGTGTTTGGCAATATAAAAACCAATAATTATTTGACAGGCTAAAATAAACGTAATTTTGAGAATAGATTCCTACCTACATTAAGAGGGTAACATCGAAAATGAAATTGTCTTTAATGATGGGGCTCTTAGCTTATCATAATTGTAAGGTCCTTGAATGTTTGTTTTAAAAATTTGTAAAATATGAAGTATCTTCATTTGAGCTACTTTCTCAAAACCGAGATCGGAAATATTGTCTGTATTTCTGCCGTATGTTGCTGCACCATCTGAGTTTGCTGTGTATAGTAGAACCCTTCTCAAGGAGTTTGTTTCTGGATTAGAAGTGTAAGAACGACTCTGTGAATGTTTATGCTTGATTCTATATTTTAGTTGACTATTATACAGTCATTTACGCTTGTGTTCTTGCTTCATGTGCAGATACTTGCGCCAAGAGCCATGGAATGATAGTGCAAGATACTTGCTAATCCTTAATCTTTTTCAGAAGGCACGTGAAGAGCGATTCCCTTCACAAACTTGCAGCACTCTTCAGAGGCTCATCTCTGCTGCTCTGTCAAAGAGAGAGCCCCCAAGTGACTGCATGTTTAACCATTATAAGAAGTTTCAACTTCTGCTTGGTGCTTCTGAAATTAGTTTGCACTGTGGCAATCTTACTGATGCCGAGGTCTATGCTAAAGATGCATCTTTACTTCCTCTCCCTCATAAGTATCTGTTTTTTGGACACTTGCTATTATCTCGAGTTTATGCTGCCAAAGGTGATCATATGAATGTTACACTAGAATATGCAAGATGTCTGGAGCTGAAGACTGATTATCATATTGGATGGATATGTCTCAAAATCATGGAATGTCAATACGCTTTGCAAGCTGATTCAAGTGTATTGGAGTTGAGTTTCAGGGAATGTTCGAAACAGTGGAAAAAATCATGCGATGTGTGGATGGCCCAATTCAATTTGGTTCTAGGTTTAGCATATCTCTCAAACAATGATCCTTTTTCAGCTGAAGATTGTCTTACACAAGCATGTAGGCTGGTGGATACCGAGAGCTGTTTTCTTCTCTGTCATGGTATTATTTCTTTGTCTTGTGTTACTGGCCAGGTCCTCAGTTATTCTCCCTGGCACTAAAACATATTAGACTAATTAATGGATTGCAGGAGCCATCTGTATGGAACTTGCCAGGCGGTTGTCTAGTTCCCAGTTTTTAGTGCGTTCGGAAAGGAGTCTGGTTAAAGCTAGCAATCGTTTTGTGATTCCTGTGCCTATCACATCATTACTTCTAGCACAAGTTGAAGGGAGCCTTGGTCGCAGAGAAAAATGGCAGAAGAACCTCCGCCTTGAATGGTATTCTTGGGCACCAGGTGTGCATTCTTACCATTACCACGATCATCTTGTTAATTTTCCTGACTAAGGTGCATTCGATTGACTCGAGTATAATGCTGACTTTTTTGTTTGTATCACTATCTTGGCTTGCATTAGTAGACACGCCGACTAGTCTAATTAGTGAAGCTGAGATCTTGCTTTCAATTTCTGTATTGACTTATTTCGAGTCCGGTCTGCATAGGGTGATGTACATGCAACTCATTGTGCATTTTGATTTGAAATTAATCTGACATGTACGTTGACTTGCATAGATAGATTATTTAGCATCAAGATAGAAGCTCCACCGTTTGAATTCGGGTGTCATCTTGTTTGAAATTTTGCTTGTGTGCCCAACATTTTCCACATGCAGTCTCCTTCATCGGCTGCCTAACCTGATTGAATTTTCCACAGAGATGAGACCGGCAGAACTTTTCTTTCAAATGCATTTACTTGCAAGAGAATCCGGAGCTGCTGCTGCTGCTGCTGCTGCATCTTCAAGCCTGGAGTTGTGTCAAAGCCCTGAACAATGGGTTCTTAGAGCAATTCATAGCAATCCTTCCTGTTCTAGGTATTGGAGGGTCTTGAAGAAGCTTCTTGACTGAGCTGCTCAACTGAAAGAGCACGAACTCCGGTACAAAGTTGGTGCCAGTGGAAGCCGCGATCTACCTATAGATGTTGATGTTCTTGTTGTAGTTGGTTATTATGTGCCAAAACTCTCGGTTCATTTTTAATCCAACCTCTGCTCTCAGCTCTTGCTTTTCAGACCATCTGCTGGCTTGTTGCATGCTGCACACCCAGATATCAAGAAGCTGTTACACTAGTTTAGCCTCAGACAATGTAATTCACTGAATTTTTTTTTTTGACGTACAATGTAATTCACTGAATCTGCTACTGTTTTTGTGCAAGTTAAAGGATTTTCTCCACGGGATTCGTTTGTCTTCTTTACAAGCGAATTTATGTCGTATTTGGCCATCAAATTTGAAATGTTGAACTGTTTTCAAATGTGTAAGTAGAGGTGTCAATTTTCAATTTAATTCATCCACCTAAGTATCTATTAATTCAATTCATTTATCAAATTAATTTGATCAAATTTAATTGAATTGGTGGATTTATGGATCTAAATGATAAATTATGATTTTGTACTTATACTTTTGATATTTCACTTTCTGGACGAAAAATATATTGAAAAATTATGTTTTGGTAACTATAAATTCCATTATCACATTTTGTTACCTAAACTTTTTGAAATTTACATAAGTTGGTCAAAGACTTGAGTGTCATTTGGATTCATGAATCAATCCACCAATTCATTTGATCCAATTTATGAATCCACCAATTCATTTGATCCAATCCATATGATCCATGAATCCACCAATCAATTCCACCAATCCATGGATTGAATCCATTTGTCACCTCCGTACGAAAGGAAAGAGATCGCCATCGGTGGCAATTTAAAACAATCATCCGTTCGAACATGAATATCAATGAATTCCCGAAACTAATACTAGCGATCAAATATATGAACAACTTTTCACTTCCCTTTCATATAGCCCACAATAATTTTGACAGCTCTCACACTATGACCATCTACAATGAGTGAGCCAAAGTGCCAAATACGACTCACAAACAAATAGGCAAGGGAAGGCCACTCGCAGGTAAGGCTGCAAATGAGCCGAGCTGAGCCGAGTTTTACCTCAGTTTGAGCTTGACTCGTTAACAAATGAGCTGAGCTCGAGCCCGAACCATTTATTAACGAGCCGAGTCGAGTTCGAGCTAGGCTTGTTTACTAAATTCTTAGATCGTATTTAATACATTCATTTTGTATGGTACATGTGATTGATGTAGCGATAAAAAAATAATCAAATGTTCAACATTAATTAATCTTATATTATAATTTTTAGGTATCATATTGTTTAGTTAATAAATTTTAACTAGTTCAAATCATGTTATTTCATAGTATCGAAACAATTTTGTAAATAATTTCTTTATAGAATTAAAAATAAGACATATTTTCTTACATGTTAAACTTCACATGATGTGAGATATATAATTTAACAATCCTATGAATTATGAAAGTCCAAATTAGATCGATTAGTCCATAAGTCAGTGATCAAGTTGGCCCTCAAACCACAATGTTGAGACATCTCATGAGCTCTAAATGAGCCAACTCACGAGTTGAGCTCAACAAGCCACCGAGTCGAGCTAGCTCGCGAGCTTCACGAGCTGAACATAGCTAGGCTCAAGCTTGGCTCGTCAGTAAACGAATCGAGTTTCGAACGAGTTTTTCCCGATTCGAGCCTCGAGTTGCTCACGAGTAGCTTGGCTCATTTGCAGCTCTACTCGCAGGGTATGTGAAGACACGAAACGTGCTGGCGTGACTGGGCAGCTGGCCGTGTGATGCGGAACGCACGCTTCCCTCCCTTTTTTAATTTGCCAAATTGCAGATCAACCCTCCATAAAATTTCTCCACTAGCCCCCAATTTTTCCTCCAACAGCTCTTTTCTTTCCCAATAGCTATATTTTTAAAGTTTTTCTATAAATACCACCACATACTTCCCTTCTAATTACCATGGATTTGACCGTAAAAAAAATTTAGTAATTACACCACGACTGCATTTTCCTCTATTTGTTTTTACAAAAGATAATCATATATTGATTCAAATGATAGGTAATTACATCCCGGAGTTCAGACAGGCCTGGAAATCAAACACACGACTCATAGTCGGGTATAGAGAAAGGACTTTTCGAGCCACCAAGTGGGCTACCCTATTGCTACGCCGACTTACAAATCGCACACTAAACCCACTATGATTGGTAAAATACTGCACAATTTCTTCAAGAATCGCTCCCATCCGATTATCGTTGTATCTGTCTGACTGACCTTCTCAATAACTACTTTGGAATCGCCTTCAAATCATATCTCCGTGAAGCCATGAGCCAAACACCATAGGATGGCCTCATGAAGCGCAAGTAATTCAACCACCATAGGGTCGTCAATGGAAGGGAACTGCACCCCCGGGCCAAAAGGATCTGTCGATCTTGGTTCATAATAACCATTCAGCCTGCCGAACGAGACACACTCCTAATTGCCCCATCCCACATACAAACAGCAGAGTGAGCCCCACTAGGACTCCACTATTGTACCAAGGGAGGGGGGTGGAAGAACGGAGAAACCGGTCCACCGACAAACTTTCCCGTACTATTTACCCTAAAAACCCACCCAGTTACGAGATCGCCAGATCCTCCACAACAATGCAACAATAGCCATAAACAATGACGGTTGGTGGATAAGAGATATCAACTTCTTTAAGAGAAGAGGAAAGGTGTGTCGAGGCAATCCTTGTCCAAGATGCTCCATCCCTGAAAGATCCCAAAACGCATGACTACCGTGTAATCAAGAAATAAATGCCCCATCGTTTCTGATTCGCCTCAGCAGACTGGACACCTAGGAAGCACATGGAAATCCTTCTCAATTAGGCCTCTGTAGTTGGGAGGATTCTATTGAAAATTTGTCAAACAAAAACTTTCATTTGGGTGGGATGTTTTCTTCCCATAACCGAATCTAACTGGCCCTATCCATCCAACTAGACATGGATGGATAGAGAAAACCCCATCAGGCATGGCATACCAAATCAATTTATCGGGAAAATTCTGACGAGTAAGAGGGATCGCTTTGATGGCCCGACATGTAGAAGGATCAATCACTGAGTAAGTTTATCATCACACCAATGACCTTCTCCTTGGAATATAACCTCAGGGCAGACGGATCCCCCCAGGAGGCAGCACCCGGGGATTATACATTGGGAGTTCAGGGTGCAATTTAGCAATACAGTTAGAACGAAGCAGAGAAGCAGTCTGGCCATGCCCAATTTGTCATTGCAAGCCCAAATCTAATAGCTGACGACCATAGAGGATACTCTGCCATCCTACGATGGGCGAGAGCGAGACGTAGCAATAAGGAAAGACACATTGGAAAAATACTTACCCTTATAAACTTGAGCCAGGAAGGACTGGTGTTCAGTCAGAATTCTCTATCCAATTTTGGCCAAGAGAGCAAGGTTAAAATGCTTTCACTGGCGGACTCCCATACCCCCTTCATGCTTACTCCGACACATATTGCGCCTAGAAATCCACCGGATCCAAGACTGACCATCCTCAACACCCCACCAGAATCTGGTGACATGCTTATCCAAGAGTCAGCAAAGAGAAAGAGGCAATTTGAAACAGGACATAATATGCAACGACAGAGCTAGTGCAACTGATTTAATCAGAGTCTCCTCAGCCTCCCATGATAATGTCATCTGTTTCCACCCCTGTAATCTTTCCAACAATTTCTCCTCGAGATAACGGAATGTAGCTGTTTTCGATCTGGATATAAACATAGGTAATCCCAGATATTTATCATGCACACCAAGTGCCCCCACACCTAGAGTCTGAGCCAAGAATTCTTGGTCCGGCGTAGTAATGTTCTTACTGAAACAGACTGCCGATTTATCCAAGTTAACTCTTTGACAACTCAAATCTTCATATTCAATTAAAACCACGATCAAATTCTCACATTTCTGAAGAGAACCTCTTAGGAATAAGTAAGAATCATCTAAGAAGAACAGGTGCGAGCTTCAGGGGGCAAGAGGGACCACTTTCACACCCCTCAAGTTTTCCTTCCGGAATGGCCTTGCGAAGGAGCGTCGCAAAACCTTCCGTACATATCAGAGAGAAGGGATTACCCTGACGGAGACCCCTAGATGGTGAGAAGAAACTCGAAGGGGTACCATTCATGAGGACAGAAAATGACGTCGATCGGAGGCATTCTTGTATCCACCCTCTTCAAACAGAGCTAAAACCCATTTTTTTTCCAAAACCGCTAGCAGAAAGGGCCATTTGACTCTATCATAGGTCTTTTCCATGTCAACCTTTAAAGCCATGTACCCTTTTTTACCCAGTGTTTTTTATTTTTAATCCATCGATTCCGCAGCAGACCGAGATGCCGTGTCATCTAATACTTGAAATAAATCAAGGAGAAAGAGAGGACCAACCCACCCGGGTTTTCATGAGCGTTGGCGGGTCCTGGAGTGCCTGTCAAGGGTGCTAGTGCATACTGATCCTAACTAGAAAAGAAACTTAAACTCGATATCGAGATGCGCCGGCCAGGATGCCGCGGGCTCGCCAAATTTTCAGGAATTTTAGACCATGCTTCAGATAAACTTTGATTTTCAGCTAATCTGACACCAACTCTTCTATATATTTCTTGCTGGAAATATCCTTGATCCCAAAATAGTGCATTAGCTCGTGCCCTAAGAGAATATTCTAAACTATTTGTCTTTCACGGACAAACGCATTTTGCCCCTCCGAAATGATCTACGAAAGGAAGCCACCAAGCCTCTCAGCCATAATTTTGGTAATAATTTTATACACAAACTGATTGGACGAAGCCGCCGCATTGTTTCCACATTAACCACCTTGGGTATTAAGGTCAACCAAGTATGATTGAAACTCTTGAGCATCTTGCTTGTTGTAAAGAAAGAATCAGGTGCCTGCTTGGATCCCATGGAGAAGACTATTTTCCATACATTGCCCGGAAGGACTTCACGAGTAAGACGACCATTCATTTCCTCAGTGACACTATGGGCCATGGGAAGAGCTACCACACGATCCGAAATATTCAACACCTGATTTTCAGAAATGAAGAGGTTCTGATAGAAATCACAGGCTATTTCAGCCTTCCCACCCTCCTTAGTGACCCAGTCCCCATCCTCATTCCGAAGACTGGACAAAAAAATCCGTTTTCTACGGGGCCGCGTGACCGTATGGAAATAGTCCGAATTTTTATCACCCTTCTTCAACCACCTAACTCTAGCTTATTGTTGCCGGTATATTTCCTCCACCTCCCATTGGCTGCTTAACTCAGCTTCAAAATTCCGTACCTCATCCCAATTAATTGGTTGAACCGATTTTATTCTCTCAATTTCAGCTTGAAGAGTTTTGATGTTTCGAAGAGAATTGGTGGTACCCGCCTTACTCCAGTCATAGAGCAGATGACGCAGTTTCTTAAGTTTTTCCCAAAGTTGATACATAGGAGTCTCATGGATGTTCTCCTGCCAAAGATACGCCACCATAACTTTAACTTTAGGGTTGTCCGCCCAACGGGCATCAAAACGGAACAGGGGGCGACTATTTCGGACTTAGAGTTTGTTAGATAATAGCAGGGCCCGGTAATTAGAACTCTGGTCCGTAAAATGTTTGACAAGAGTATTAGGGAAGTGATCGATCCAAGTCTGTGAGCAAAGAGCCCTATCGAGTCGCTCACGAATATTAGCCGCACTCCTCCGTTTGTTCGTCCAAGTAAATTGATCTCCCTGAAACCCAGGACCATGGAGACCTAGGTCGTGAACAAAATCAAGGAGACCAGTTGATTGAGAAGCGTTCCACGAGGTGCCTCCCACCTTGTCGTTCTCATGTAGAGTAACGTTGAGGTCACCTATCACCACAAATGGTAGGTGGATTTCTTTACATAACCCTCGAAGTTGGGACAACTGATTTATTCTGATCGAGACAGAGCAATTGAGATAGACACAAAACATAACATACGAAAACTCAAATTCATTTATTTGAATATCAATAAAAAAATTGGAATTAAAAAACACCGAAGCATCCACTTCGGGGGACCAAGTAACAACCAAACCTCCTGTGCATTATCCGCATCTTTAAAAAAACATTTAGAAGAAGAAAAACCTAATACCCACATGCGACGAGAAACTACTTTTTGGCTCGATCGTGTCTCCGAGAAGAACACAAGATCCGATTTATTTGACTGAACTAAACCTACTCCAGTTTGGAATGTGAGGGATGGTCCAATTCCTCTCACATTCCAGGCAAGAAGCCTCATTTATCAGACTGGGGCCACTCAAGGCTGACTTCCCCCACCTTCTCAGTTCCATTTCTTCAACAAACTGTTTCTTGGGAGTGGGGTTATCTCCAATTTCCCCATCCACTTCATGGACTGTTCGCTTGCGTCCTCCTTTTTCTTGGGCGATCATATTCGTCCCATATTCATTCAGCTCCATAGTGAAACCACTATCGGTTCCCACTAGTTTTTGTTCTCCATTGCCCATCTTAATCCCTGCCTCCAATGCAGCAACCACCTGTCTCACCTGTCCATCAGTAACATGAATGGCATGGTGAGCAGAAGAGGGCGGTGCTCGGCTCTTACTTTCAAAACCACCCACATCATCATCAGAGAGCGGGTCATCCGTGTCCGTCATACCCTTGGGTAGTTCATCATCAGCATCTTTAGGTCTAGCTCGGGGAGACTTGGGCTTTTCCTTAAGCGGTGAAGCTTGGCGCAGCTCCGAAACGACGGGGGCGGGATTCATCCGGCAAGGCTGGCCTGACTCCGCAGTCCCCGATCATCCATCTATCAACCCAGCTTGTTGACGGAGAACTCCACGACTGCCCTACGGTTTGAAATTCTTGGACCTGCCTTTCGAGGGGCTTCACGGACAGCTGTCGTGTCCATGGCCATTTTCATTTTTTGCAACCCCTTACCTTTTCAATCCACTGGCTTGGCTTTATCCGCCAACTTGACTAGCCTCCGCTAGAGTTTTGTCACAGGGCTTGGCTTCTCATTACGATGCATATGCGAAGCTGTTAGCGCAACAAGCTCGTCATCTGAATCCTCAAGGATGAGTTGACGACGCTGAATCTGAGCTGGAGAAGCAGCAACAGCCATCCTACCTGCCACTTGCTTGGTCTCACTAGTCTCCTTTGTATCCGACGAGAAGACCCCCGTGGCACCACACTGTTCGATAAGGTTCTCCATCCGCAGCTGCTTCTCATGTCTCGATCCAACAACCTTGCTAGTATTACCATTGGTGCGTTTGGACCGCCAACTTCCACCATTTTCTACATGTGGATTGGGTGATTGACGTTGACTCCGTCCCCGCTTCATTTTCGGGGATTTTTGGGGATTGCATTTTCCTCATTGTCATCAAATATCAATCTCTCACTATATTTCACTTTCTCTCTACATTTCGTCATTGATGACATCATATTTTTTGACAAAAAAATTATATCAAAATAAAAATGTTACATCAAAATGTTCGTTTTAATTAATTATGACTAATTATATAAAAAAATTCAAAATTATACAAATAAACTATGAAATGTACAATTAACTAATAAAAAAATCACAAATATAGTACTTTGATTGGGTCTGCTCCATTGAAGGAAAAATATTTTATTGTGTGCCAAATTTGACACTTTGATCCTAATTTTTAGCACCCCATTGGAGATGGTCTAATTTGAATCGAAAGCTAGTAATTTTTGAGTTAACATATTTGTATGACCCGAACTTTTCAAAAATTAAACATCCTGGCCAATCTTTTTGATCTATAACTTCATGGCCTCAACTATGCATCAAAGTTATGAAATTGGTCAAACACGAGATTCGACTGTTATCTTGGACAATCAAATGCGCTGACTAACAGTCAATGCGCCACGTCACTGCCAAGTCAGCACATACTAGTTAAAATTTTTGGTTTTTTCCACCTATTACCATTTATCTTTCTTATTCTAAAATTTCTTTTCCTTTCTTTTTCTTCTTTTGTTCAAAATAAAAAAACATAAATGATAATAGGTGAAAAAAACTAAATTTTTTAAGTGGTGTGTGCTGACTTGGCAGTGACATGGTGGGTTGACCGTTAGTCAACGCGTTTGGCTGTCCAAGATTATGGTCAAATCTCAGGTTTGGCCAATTTCGTAGTTTTGATGCATAGTTGACGCCACGAAGTTACAGATCGAAAAGATTGACCAAGATGTTTAATTTGTGAAACGTGTTTAGATTGGCCCATACAAATATGTTTAAGTTGCGGAACTTGTTTCACAACTGCGACCAATTAGTCTCAGTCAGTTTCTTTACAAGGTTATCACTAAGATTATTGCAAATAGACTGGGATCTTTGCTTCCTTCTTTGGTCTCTGAAGAGCAGAATGGATTCGTTAGGGACCGTCAAATTGTTGATAATGTTCTAATTGCTCATGAAGTCACGCATTTTGTGAAGAACAAGCATAAGGGGAAGGAAAAATTAATGGCGCTAAAATTGGACATGGAGAAAGCTTATGACAGAACCGAGTGGCCTTATTTGTTTGCTTTACTCAGTAGATTGGGATTTGCTCCTCAAAGGATTGGGTGGATCCGTGAATGTGTTACTACTGCGTCCTTTTCGGTGATGATGAATGGGTAGCCTTCTAGTTATTTCAAGTCTACTCGTGGACTCCGTCAGGGTGATCCTCTCTCCCCGTTGTTATTTTCCCTTTGTACGGAAGGTCTTATTGCATTGATTAAGCAAGCTTTACATCGGCATGAGATTCATGGAATTAGGGTTCACCATTCTTGTCCTCCTATCTCTCATCTTTTGTTTGCTGATGATTCTTATTTGTTCTTGAGGGCATCCAGGAGGGATTGCACTGCTTTGATTCACTTACTTCATGAGTATGAATCTTTAAGTGGTCAGCGAGTGAATCTGCATAAATCTGCAGCCTTTTTTAGCCCTAATCTTCTTCAGCCGGATCAAGAGGAGTTAAGTTCCCTTCTGGGGGTTGGTTCTTTTGGATTGCACGATAAGTATCTTGGATTACCGTTGCTTAAGGGTCAATCCAAGGTTGATACTTTTCGGTTCATGGAGGAAAATTGTTAGAGGTGCTTCACGGGCGGAAACAACGGGCTTTATCCGCATCAGGGAAGGAAGTACTTTTGAAAACAATAGCCTCGGCTCTTCCAATTTATGTAATATCTTGTTTTCGCCTTCCTTCTGAACTTATTCGTAGGCTAAATGCACATATGGCAAGGTTTTGGTGGGGGGCTACTCAGAATCAACGTCGCATTCATTGGCGTGCTTGGCGAGGATTATGTGCTAGTAAATTTGAAGGAGGCCTTGGTTTTCGAGAGTTTGGATATTTTAATCAAGCACTTCTTGCTAAAGTGGCTTGGCGAATTCTTCAAGAACCCAATTCTCTTCTTGCTAGAATCTATTGCGCTCAGTATTCTTTCGGTTCAGATTTCCTCTCTATTTCGGCCTGGGGGTTTGCTTCCTGGGGTTGGCGTAGCATTCTTTTTGGCAGGGATCTTTTGCTGCAGGGTTTAAGGTGGCAAGTTGGCGCAGGGGATACTATCAGAGCATTCAGTGATCCTTTGATACCTTCTTCTCCACCAACTGTTCCCAAACTGAAATCAGGAAGTATCCCCCCTCCTCCTATTTATGTTTCTGCCCTCATTGATCGTGGCACGAAATTGTGGAACCTACGAGCTTTGGAGCTTTTCTTCTCGCCAGATTCTATTGCTGCTATCCAGTTTCCTTTATCTTTTCGCCCAGTTCCGGATCGAGTAATTTGGCATTACGAGACTTCTGGGGATTTCACAGTGAAGTCCGCTTATCATCTTGCTTTCTCTTTACTCGACTCTCCTGTTCGTAAGCTTGGTGCGTCCCTTTGGATCGATCAATTTGGAAGTGGGTTTGGAGCAGGGTTCTTCCTCTGAAGTTACATTTCTTTCTGTGGCAACGTCTTCTTCGTATTTTGCCAACAAGGGAAGCTTTGTTTATTCGAGGTGTGAATCTGCTCCCTATCTGCCCTGTTTGTGGACGGAAAGAAGAGACGGTCGAGCATCTTTTCTTCACCTGCTCGTTTGCGAGGAAGCTTTGGCGTATGGTTGGTTTGGAGCATCTTCTTCACCAATGGGAGACTAGATCCTTTTATGGGTTTATAAGGTACTCTTTATTTTCCATTGATGGTATAGATTCAGATTATCCTGTCCTGCAGGTTGTCTGTTTACTTTGGCGTCTATGGAAGAATCGCTGCTCGGTGCATTTTGAACATAAACAGTTGCTGCTTCCCATTTTAGCATCTCAGTGGCGTCACCAAGTTGACGAAGCGGACAAGGCTCTTCTCCAACCTAGTCGACAGTCTCCTCTTCCCAATAGCTTTCACTTTCCTGCAGGTTCTCCAATTCTTTGCTCGGCGAAGTTTGATGCTGCGAAAAGTGGGATCGGGTGGTGTTGCGGCTGCTGTTCTGTTGGATGATTCAGGAGGTCTCCTTGCAGCTTCAGTCAGTCATTATCCTGGGATTTGGGATCCTTTCATAGTTGAAGCCTTGGCCCTCCGTGATTGTCTGCGTGAATGCCGTCGGCGACAGTTACATTCCATTAATATTGGCGGTGATGCAAAGGTGTTGATTGATAAATGTCGGAAACGTGATGTGTCGGATGCGAGGGCAGGATCTATCCTTCAAGAAATTTGTTCTCTTTTGGAAGATTCTCCGGGGTTTCAAGTTCATTTTGTGGGTCGTACTAGGAACAGAGTGGCTCATTCGGTAGCTCGTCATGCTCTGTTGTTGTCACCTCGCTTTCATAGGGGGTTTGACTACGTTTCATGGTTCAATAGTCGATAGGTTCTTAGTAATCTCGGATCGTGTATTTTCCTCTTTTTAAGAGTTATCAATTAGGGGAAAAAAATTGAATACATTTTCTCTTTGATTAATTGGGCCACCAGCTGAGAAGCAATGTCGTCATCTTCGGGGGGCCCATAATTGAACTAACCGGCTGAAACTGGAGGGTCCAATAGTAATGGGCCGCCCGCTAAGAGAGCCGGAGCAGGCGAACAAAATCAAAACGTGCGAGAGGCATTCCGCATGGAAGGAGGAGTAGCACACTACCGACTCTGAACAACAGTATGGCGGTTCTGAATTTTTTGCCATAAAACGAAAACCCCGGGAAGCTATCCCCACACACAGCCCCGTTTTATTCTGATCGACGGAGGCCTCAGTTCCGAGCTCCGACGATCAAGTGAGCGGAGAAGAAGGAAGCTTCCCAGTTCCCACCGCCGACTGGCTGAGTTCGTAGCTTTTGTCAACGTTCACTGCTCGGTGAGTTTAACCAGACCAGTTACCTTCTCACCATTGTTTGCCATGTCATCGGTTTTCCTTGTTCCTAATTGTTTCTCGCTCTCGTTCTAGGGTTTGGCATTCTTTTCGAAGGATCATCTCTGCTGCTTGTTGACTGACCTTCTCTGGTAATAAAGGTTAGGGTTTCCCTTGCTGTATTTAGTTTTTGGTTGTATCTGTCTGTTTTCTCATCTCTTTCGGACAAACTGTTTCAGACCCACGGCAATGGCTCACCCCGGTGGTGGCGCAGAAGCTCATGCTCGGTCCAAGCAGTACGAGTACAAAGCTAATTCGAGTCTCGTCATCAATACCGACTCCCGCCCCCGCGATACTCATGGGCCTACGGGCGAGCCTGAGTCTCTTAGCGGCAGAATCAACCCCAGGACCTTCGGTGACCTTGTTCAGAGAGGCCGACCTCATGATCGTGATGAGAGAATTAAGAAATCTAAGAAGAAGAAGGAGAGGGACGGCCAGTTTGAACCTGTTTCAAGCCGCCAAGCGAAACGTCGAAGAGTCCGACTGGAGAGTGTACTCTCCTCAACCGAAGGAGGAGTCTACCATCCCAAGACCAAGGAAAGCAGAGCTGCATATGAAGCATTGCTTAGTGCCATTCAAGATCAACTGGGTGGTCAGCCTTCTAATGTTGTCAGTGATGCTGCTGATGAGGTTCTGGCTGTACTTAAGAATGAGTCCTCAAAGACAACTGACAAGAAGAGAGAAATTGAGAAGCGGTTGAATCCGATCTCCAGTGAGTTCTTTAATGAGCTGGTTAGACTTGGAAGCCTGATCAAGGATTACCAAGATGGAGCTGATGCTGGTGGACCTACTGCTGTTAATGGAGAAGATGCTCTTGATGATGATGTAGGCGTGGCTGTTGAGTTTGATGAAGACAATGAGGATGAGGAAGAAGAGAGTGATCTTGATATGGTTCCAGAGGACGAAGAGGAGGATGATGATGATGATGCTTTGGTTGAGCGGGATGGTGCTAGGGCTATGCAGATGGGTGGGGCGATTGATGATAATGACATGGGTCAAGCAAACGAGGGCATGAACCTAAATGTTCAAGATATTGATGCTTATTGGATCCAGAGGAAGATTTCCCAGGCTTTTGAACAACAGATCGACCCACAACAGTGCCAAACACTTGCAGAAGAGGTGCTAAAGATTCTTGCTGAGGGAGAAAACCGGGAAGTTGAGAATAAATTGGTGTATCACCTCCAATTTGAGAAGTTCAGCCTTATAAAGTTTCTTGTGCATAATAGGCTGAAGATTGTCTGGTGCACCCGTTTAGCTCGTGCCAAGGACCAAGAAGAGAGAAACCACATCGAGAAAGAAATGACAAGGTCAGGTTCCGATATGGCTGCTATTCTGCTACAGCTTCGTGCCACACGAGCTACTGCAAAAGAGAGGCAAAAGAATTTGGAGAAAAGCATAAGAGAAGAGGCTCGCAGACTTAAGGATGAGATTGTTGATGGTGATGATAGGGATGGAACTTTGCTCGTTGAGAGAGATGCACACAGTAGTAGTTGGGTAAAGGGCCAGCCGAAGTTGCTTGACCTGGACAATATTGCTTTTGAGCAGGACGGTCTTTTTATGGCAAATAAGAAATGTGACCTTCCACATGGTTCCTCCAGACAACAGAACAAGGGTTATGAAGAAGTTCATGTGCCGGCACTTAAAGCTAAACCTTTAGATCCTGATGAGAAGCTTGTGAATATAACGGAAATGCCGGAGTGGGCTCAACCAGCTTTTAAAAATATGCAACAGCTGAACAGGGTGCAGAGTAAGGTCTATCAGACAGCACTTTTCAGTGCCGATAATATTCTCTTATGTGCTCCAACCGGTGCGGGGAAAACTAATGTTGCAGTTCTCACTATCCTTCAGCAGCTTGGTATTTATAGGAACAAGGATGGTTCATTTGATCATAATGGCTATAAAATAGTTTATGTTGCACCCATGAAAGCTCTTGTGGCTGAAGTGGTTGGTAATTTGTCCGAACGTCTAAAAGAATATGGGGTGAATGTGAGGGAACTAAGTGGAGATCAGACACTCACTCCTCAACAAATTGAAGAAACTCAAATAATTGTGACCACTCCGGAGAAGTGGGATATCGTTACCAGGAAGTCTGGGGATCGCACCTACACCCAACTGGTTAAGCTTCTTATCATTGATGAGATTCACCTTCTTCATGATAACAGAGGCCCTGTGCTTGAAAGTATAGTTGCTAGAACTGTTAGACAGGTTGAGACAACAAGGGACCATATCAGGATGGTGGGATTGTCGGCTACTCTCCCGAACTATGAAGATGTGGCGCTGTTTTTAAGAGTTGATGTTGGGAAAGGGCTTTTTTATTTCGATATTAGCTACAGACCCGTCCCTCTTTCTCAAAAGTACATTGGTGTCTCGGTCAAGAAGCCACTGCAGAGGTTCCAATTAATGAACGACCTTTGTTATGAGAAGGTAATTGCTGTTGCTGGAAAGCATCAGACTCTTATTTTTGTGCACTCCAGGAAGGAAACGGCTAAAACAGCCCGAGCAATACGAGATACTGCACTGACAAATGACACTCTTGGAAAATTCCTGAAGGAGGACAGTGCTAGCCGGGAGATTCTCCAGGATCATACAAATATAGTCAAAAGTAATGATCTTAAAGATCTTCTCCCCTATGGCTTTGCAGTTCATCATGCAGGTTTGGCGAGGGCTGATCGTGAAATTATTGAGGCTCTTTTTGCTGATGGTCATATACAAGTGCTGGTTTCTACTGCAACTCTAGCTTGGGGTGTCAATTTGCCTGCTCATACTGTGATTATCAAAGGGACTCAGATTTATAATCCGGAAAAGGGAGCTTGGACTGAATTAAGTCCACTTGATGTTATGCAAATGTTGGGTCGTGCTGGTCGGCCACAGTATGATTCGTATGGTGAAGGTATTATCATCACGGGTCATAGTGAACTGCAGTATTATCTGTCCTTGATGAACCAACAGCTTCCAATCGAAAGCCAGTTCATATCCAAATTGGCTGATCAGTTGAATGCTGAAGTTGTGCTTGGTACAGTTCAGAATGCAAGAGAAGCGTGCAATTGGCTTGGTTATACTTACTTGTATGTCCGGATGTTGAGGAATCCCAGCATTTATGGTATAGCATCAGATATTCTTACAAGAGATATCACGCTGGAGGAGAGAAGGGCTGATTTGGTAAGTAGTCTGTAGTAGTAACTCTTCGAATCATTTATTGCCTTTTTTGAGTCTAGTGCTGACCAGCGGTAATCATATGCATCTGTCCTCATGGATTTACTTAGCAATTGCTGGAAGTTACCTAAAATGCTTGATACTAGGTCTGGTGGAGTTTTTTTATCCTAGATATGACAATATAATACAAGAAAAAATGTCTATCCGAGAAATCCCTTCCCACCTAGGTAATAAAAACAAATGAAAGCAAGTAAGCAACTCTAAACTAGACAGGGGAAGGGCTTCTCTTAACCTATAATTTTCTGCGAAACATTATTTTTGTGAACAATAATGTGATTGTTGAGGACAGAAGGTTTATGCAACTTGGATACTTGTGTTAGTGGTGATCAATAAATTTGTTCATTTCTGCTACAGGGTCATGCACTTTCTTGATTTAAGCTTTTACATGTGCCTGGTATCATCTAGGTAGAACGTGCACATCCTGCATGGATCATACTTTGAGCCCTAACAATGTCTTCTTTTCTCTTCTGCAGATTCATTCAGCTGCAACAATTTTAGACAAGAATAACTTGGTCAAGTACGACAGGAAAAGTGGATATTTCCAGGTTACTGACCTTGGCCGTATTGCAAGCTACTACTATATATCTCATGGCACTATATCCACCTATAATGAGCATCTGAAACCAACGATGGGGGAAATTGAGCTGTGTCGCTTGTTCTCGCTAAGTGAAGAGTTTAAGTATGTAACCGTGAGGCAAGATGAGAAAATGGAACTAGCAAAGCTATTGGACCGTGTTCCAATTCCTGTGAAGGAGAGTCTGGAGGAGCCTAGTGCCAAGATCAATGTTCTTCTGCAAGCGTACATCTCACAGCTGAAGCTTGAAGGCCTGTCATTGACTACTGATATGGTTTATATAACACAGGTACTTTCGTTGGTCCTTGCACTATTATTTTCTGTTAGCAGCTCTTGTTGGATTTAGAGCTCCATATGCTGAAGCTGTATTTTTCTCTTTACTAATTTCTTCTTCTTTTGGATGGTACAGAGTGCAGGTCGCCTTCTTCGAGCACTTTTTGAGATCGTCTTGAAAAGAGGGTGGGCAAAGCTGACTGAGAAGGCTTTGAACTTGTGTAATATGGTTAATAAGAAGATGTGGAGTGTGCAGACACCCCTTCGCCAATTCGTTGGGATACCAAATGAGATTCTTGTGAAATTGGAAAAGAAAGACTTGTCGTGGGAAAGGTACTATGACCTCACACCACAGGAAATTGGCGAACTTATTCGTTTCCCAAAGATGGGTAGGGTGTTGCATAAGTTCATCCATCAATTTCCAAAGCTGAATCTTGCAGCTCACGTGCAGCCGATAACTCGAACTATTTTGAGGGTTGAGCTCACCGTCACTCCTGATTTTCAGTGGGATGACAGAGTTCATGGGTATGTTGAACCATTTTGGGTAATTGTTGAGGACAATGATGGCGAGTATATCTTGCACCATGAGTATTTCATGCTAAAGAAGCAGTATATTGATGAGGATCACACATTGAATTTCACAGTGCCTATCTATGAGCCGTTACCTCCTCAGTATTTCATCCGTGTTGCATCTGATAGGTGGCTCGGATCCCAGACTGTTCTACCTGTCTCTTTCAGGCACCTTATTTTACCCGAGAAGTATCCCCCTCCAACTGAGCTCTTGGATTTGCAGCCTCTTCCAGTGTCAGCTTTGAGAAATCCTTCCTACGAGTCTCTATATCAGGGGTTTAAGCATTTTAATCCGGTCCAGACACAGGTCTTCAATGTCTTGTATAATACAGATGACAATGTCCTGGTTGCTGCCCCAACCGGGAGTGGGAAGACGATATGCGCAGAGTTTGCAGTGTTGAGGAATCAGCGGAAGGGACCTGATAGCATCATGCGAACTGTCTATATAGCCCCCCTTGAAGCAATTGCTAAGGAGCGCTATCGTGATTGGGAGAGGAAGTTTGGTGAAGGCCTTGGCTTGAAGGTTGTGGAACTAACTGGGGAAACCACTACTGATTTGAAACTGATCGAGAAGGGTCAAATAATCATCAGTACACCAGAGAAATGGGATGCACTGTCTCGTCGTTGGAAGCAAAGAAAGAATGTTCAGCTAGTCAGTCTTTTTATAATTGACGAGCTTCACTTGATTGGAGGTCAGGGCGGTCCAGTGCTGGAGGTGATTGTCTGTAGGATGAGATACATTGCAAGTCAGATTGAGAACAAGATCAGGATTGTGGCCCTTTCATCTTCTCTTGCTAATGCTAAAGATATTGGGGAATGGATAGGAGCTACCTCACATGGTCTCTTCAATTTCCCACCTAGCGTCCGTCCTGTTCCTCTAGACATACACATACAAGGGGTGGATATTGCGAATTTTGAGGCAAGGATGCAAGCCATGACGAAGCCGACTTACACATCAATAGTTCAGCATGCAAAGAATGGCAAGCCCGCTCTTGTCTATGTCCCCACAAGAAAGTACGTGAAGGCCACTGCCGAGGATTTGATGTCGTACTCTGCAGTTGACAGCACTGAGAATCCTGGCTTTTTGTTGCGACCCTCTGAAGAGCTAGAGCCTTTTCTAACAAAAATTCAGGACCAGACTCTGCGGATCACTCTAACCTTTGGGGTCGGTTTCTTACACGAGGGGTTGACTGATCTGGATCAGGAGGTTGTCTCTCAATTGTTTGAAGCAGGTTGGATTCAGGTCTGTGTTGTGAGCAGCTCAATGTCTTGGGGAGTGTCTCTGCGGGTACACTTGGTAGTTGTGATGGGAACTCAGTACTACGATGGGAGAGAAAATGCTCACACCGACTACCCGGTCGCCGATCTGTTGCAGATGATGGGCCATGCTAGTCGGCCGTTGCTTGATAACTCCGGGAAGTGTGTAATCCTCTGTCATGCACCTCGTAAAGAATACTACAAGAAGTTTCTCTACGAAGCCTTCCCTGTTGAGAGTCACCTGCACCATTTCCTGCATGATAATTTTAATGCAGAAATAGTTTCCGCAGTTGTCGAGAACAAGCAGGATGCTGTTGATTATCTAACCTGGACTTTCATGTACAGGAGGTTGACTCAGAATCCAAACTACTACAACCTCCAAGGCGTGAGTCACAGGCATCTCTCTGATCACCTGTCAGAGCTAGTTGAAAATACGTTGAGCAATTTAGAAGCAAGCAAGTGCATTGCAGTTGAGGAGGACATGGACCTTTCCCCCCTCAATCTTGGCATGATAGCATCTTACTATTACATCAGCTACACGACTATCGAGCGTTTCAGCTCGTCCCTGACTCCCAAGACAAAGATGAAAGGTCTCCTTGAAATTCTGGCTTCCGCCTCGGAGTACGCACAGCTTCCGGTAAGACCTGGGGAAGAAGAAAAGCTCCGGAGGCTGCTCAATCACCAGAGATTCTCGTTTGAGAATCCGAGGTACAGCGACCCACACGCAAAGGTCAACGTCCTGCTTCAAGCTCATTTCTCGAGGCAAGCAGTGGGGAAGAATCTAGCTTTCGACCAGCGGGAGATTCTCCTTTCTGCCAGCCGGTTACTCCAGGCAATGATTGATGTAATCTCGAGCAATGGTTGGTTGAACCTCGCTCTTCTCGCGATGGAGGTTAGCCAGATGGTGACACAAGGGATGTGGGAACGCGATTCCGTGCTGCTTCAGCTTCCACACTTCACGAGGGAATTAGCCAGGAAGTGCCAGGATAAGAGCATAGAGACTCTGTTCGATTTGGTGGAGATGGAGGACGACGCGAGGTGGGATCTGCTGCAGATGTCTGATCCCCAGCTGCTGGATATTGCCAAGTTCTGCAATCGGTATCCGAACATCGATATGACGTACGAGGTTCAAGGTGGCGAGAGCGTGAGGGCAGGTGACGATGTGACCCTACAGGTCGTGCTGGAAAGGGATCTGGAAGGGAGGACGGAGGTAGTAGGTCCGGTGGACGCCCCGAGGTACCCTAAGGCCAAGGAAGAAGGGTGGTGGCTGGTGGTCGGTGATACGGAGACGAATCAGCTGCTGGCCATCAAGAGGGTGTCCCTGCAGAGGAGGCTGAAAGTGAAGCTTGCATTTGCTGCTCCTACTGAAGTTGGAAGGAAGAGTTATACGCTCTACTTCATGTCCGACTCTTACCTTGGCTGTGACCAGGAGTACAGCTTCACGGTGGACGTGGAAGGAGCTGTGGAAGACGACGCGTGAGACTGACTTACTGAATGGCGCCATTGTTTTTGTATGGCGGCCTGATGGAGAAATGTTACACCAGTGTGGGTTTTTGAGTGAGAACATTTTGTATTCGTAGCTGATAGAAAAGACTGTACTTGTAACTACACAGCGGGGAAAATTTTGTCAAATGCCCTAGAATGTATGCTCTGATGTAATTTTGACCGGATGCAGAAGCGTTGTTCTCCTCCTTTACAACGCCCCTTTTCTCTAGAGTCTAGTCCACATTATTGTCCAGGTTGTGCACTGTGCATGACATGGGTGGTAACTTGTGGGTGGTAATTGGAATTACTAAAAACGTTCATGTTTGGTCACTAAAAATATTTAATTTTGTTCATGATCACTAGAATTAATTAAACGTTTCAAGTTTGGTCGCTCTCCGTTAGTCTTTGTTAATTGTGTCTGTTATCTGCTGATGTGGCTAACAAAAACGCCGGGATTTTTCCAATAATAGCACCTTTAAAAAAAAATTACAAAAATAGCACCCATATAAAAAAAATTACAAAACTAGCACCAATTTTTTTGGAACGCACCCCTAAGATGCGTTTTACATGTAAAACGCACCAAAAAGATGCGATCTACATATAAAACGCATCAGAGGGGTGCAATCCATAAAACAAATCGCAATACGCCAGTGCGATTTGGGGAGGACGCGGAACGATCTTCAAGATCGTTGGATGGAGGGACGATCGGGCGGCTCAGCGCATGCCAGCGGAGCGATCCGCGCCGAGGATCCCGGATCGCTTGCCAGCGGAGCAATCCACGCCCAAGGAAGCACAAATCGCATCGGAAGGGAGCAATCCGCGCCTAGGGAAGCGCAAATCGCATTGGAAGAGTGTGATCCGCGTGAGGGAAAAATTACCCGATCGCCCCTGGAGGGTGCGATCTGATGGGTATAAATACCCCCCCTTCCCCTCTCATTTCTTCACACCACAACCCATTCTTCCTTCTCTCTCTACAATTTATCTCTCTAAACCCTCCCCCTCCCAAAAGCCTAGGAAATAGTGGTCTGTTGGTTGCGGCTAAGTCCGATCTGCCATCAGAAAACATTTCTTAGATTTTTTCCTCAAAACCCGCCGAGCCGAAGCTCTGTCCGAATTGCGCCGAAAAAATGGCCGATTGGTGGCAAGGAGAAGGAGTTTTTGTTGATGAATTTCAAGCGGTACGTACTCATTATCCGGGTTTAATTTTTGTTGTTGTTATAAGCTTTTTAATTAATCTATGTACTAACCTCGTTGTTATTTTCTCGTAGGTTGGGATGGACGTGGATATTTACAACCAACGGTATTATCTCGAGCAAGGGCCGTTGGATCCAACCGACTTGTACGACCAACCCAACCATCGGTCAAGGGATGTTTGGAACGCTCACCCGGTACATACAATTCTTTACCATTTGTCCTTCTTTTATTTTGTTAATGTATTTAGTGGAATATAAAATAAATTTATGTTGAATTTTTAATCGTGTTGGTTGTTTTCAATAATTTAATCGAATACATAGCGCCACTTACTTTGACTCTTTATAAAGAGATGCACGTCTAAGAAAATGGGGTTTTAAGCGATTATCATATCCTCGCATTCCCTGGGAAAATCGGGTATTAAGAGATCCTCGGATCCCCCCTTTTTCTGTCAACAAGACTGCGTTTCTAAGAAGATGTATACCTCTTCTAAGAGTCTAACGAGTGTTGCTTTGTATTCGATTAAATTATTTAAAACAACCAACACGATTAAATAATTTACCAAACAACCCTTACGATTTATTTTGATGTGTACAAAAGGAATTTTATTAATTTCAAACAATTGAATATGTATGTTTCTCTTTAAAATATTGATTCATTAACAATGTCATTTAATTTAGTTAATTTAGTATGTTTATTTTACGATAATATGTCGTATCTCTTTAAATTATTATTCATTTAGAATGTTATTATGTTAATTAATTTAGGATGTTCGTTTTATGATAATATGTATGTATCTCTTTAAATTATTATTAATTTAGAATGCTATTATGTTAATTATATGAAATGTCTTTTTATGATAATAAAATTCTGCTTGAAGTTAAATAATTTAATTTAATTAATTTAGTTATAAGGAATAAACCCTTACTAATATATAATAATTAACATGTAAATTTTCCCTAGGAGGCACAAACAATAATCCGCTACAGGGGTACGACCAATGTGCTCCCATTCCACCTAGCTATCTTGCCCTTTCTCAAAAGGGCACGGTTGGACTCGATTAGGCATTTTAACGGCATCAAAGTTGATCGCCAACTCATCACCGCCCTAGTTGAGAGATGGAGAAAGGAGACCCATTGCTTCAACTTTAGAGAAGGAGAGGCCACCATCACGCTAAAGGATGTCGCCATCCTAACCCATCTCCCCATCGACGGCAAACCGGTGTGCGTGAGTGATCATCCCCCCGAGTCCCCGACGATTGTGACGGTATGCCCGGTTGGCGTCTACCTCATCCTGAGTGGTTATGAGATATTCCTCATGCCACAATGACCCACTTTCTCTGTTTGGATATCGGTACACCATACGATCAACTCTTCTCGTGCCATCCATGCAAGTAACGTTATTGCACATTTGATGGAGGTCTTCAAGCAGCGGTCTGGTAGCGACCTTTATCTTCTGAAAATTGCCACCTACGTAGGTTGCACCCTTTCCGGTCTCTTCCGTGTAACCATTCCACCGTAAGCCAAGCGTGAACTTTTGGAATGCCATCTGCGATAAAACCGTAGTTCAGTTAATATCATAAAAAATCAAAAATAAAAAATAACAATAAAAAGTAATACTAAATCAACTTACGAGTTAACGTTAATCGCAAAACTACTAAAGAAATATAGAGCTACAACAGAAAATTGAAAAGGGAAGGGAGAAGGAGAGGTGTGAAGAGAAGTGGTTGTCCGGGAGGCCTTTTATAGCAAAATCACTAATGAAAACCGCACCTTAGAGGTGCGATTTTCGTCTGCCATGCAGGCCCATGCAGACCCACGTCTGTTACGTCTGCATGGCATGTCGGAAATTGATTGACCAAAATCGCACCTTCAAGGTGCGGTTTGTATGGCAAAATCGCATCCTCATGGTGCGATTTTGTTTGGCAGAAACAAATCGCACCTTTATAATGCGATTTTAATAGGTTAGACCTAAAATCGCACCTCGGCCATGCGATTTCAGTAGGTCAGACGTAAATCGCTTGGCTAAAGTGCGATTTGTGTCCAGATAATTGGAACGCACCTTACCAGTGCGATCTATTTGTAAAACGCACCTTTAGGGTGCGATTTAAATATAAAACGCATCTACAAGGTGTGTTCTATTAAAAAGGGTGCTATTAGTGTAAATTTTTACGGATGGGTGCTATTTTTGTAAATTTTTTTTGTAAAGGTGCTATTTCTGGAAAAATCCCCAAAAACGCCTAGTAAGTCTAATTTAACGCGATAAATTTAAACCCGACCCACCACATCATTATAACCCAACCAGTAACCCAACCCGTGACCCGACAACTTTTCAGCTTATCTCCTACAATCACCTGACCCCTCACTTCCCTAACCCTCCATCGTCAGCGCCATTTCCAATCCACCGCTGCCGGTCGCCGCTCCTAGACATATATGGAAAGAAACTCATCTGCCCATATCACCATAAACACCAAATCAAACATGGCTCTGCCCTTTCCCCTCTACTCGGCTTCTAATTTCTTGTCTTCTTTTATTCTACATCACATTATCTCAAGCCCAACAACCCTCATTCCGCTCGAAAGTCCTAGTTCTCTCGATTTCGAAAGACCCATCAACACTCCAATACTTCACCCACATCAACCAACGAACCCCACAAATCCAAGTGAAGTTAACCCACGATCTCGGCGACCGATTCCTTAGATCGACTGCGAATAAAACTACGATTCATCGTCGTACAACAAGGGAAGAGAAGGTGGAGAGGAGGCAGCCAATCGCTCATGTATCCGATGCTCTGCTCACAAGGGAATGGGTTGGCCGTCAGTCGGATGAGTCAATGGGGAAGAGAAAGAAGAAGCGGGTCAAGAAGAAAGGGTAGGGATGAGTTGGGTTGGGTTGAGTTGAGTTGTATGACGTGGAGGGTTTATGACGTGGCAGGTGATGTGTCGAGTTAAAATTGGGTGAATCAGCGTTTCTGTTAGCCACGTCAACAAAATATTGACAGTGTTAACGGAGATTGACGGAGACTAACGGAGAGTGACTAAACTTGAAATGTGTAACTAATTTTAGTGACCATGAACGAAATTAAATATTTGTAGTGACCAAACATGAATGTTTTTAATAATTCTAGTGACCAACCTTGTAATTTACCCAAGTTACTCTCTCTACCTTTCTTGGGTTTTCAAAATCACCTTCCAAGGGCTGCCGCCGACTTCCCTCTGGAACTGGCGGTGGCCCTCCTCCTCTTGCATGTCTCCTTGTGAGATGATTTTGTTCTCCACCTGACTAGTTTTCCATATCTGTGTGGAGGTTCCCTTGGTTGGTGTTTGAGGGGGCCGATCGTCGGTTTCGCTTGCTCCTCTCTGGTCTGCCATCTACCTTCACATGCTTCATCCATAAATGGGGATGATTCGAAGATGCATAGACCTTGGTAGTATTGGATGTTTTTTCAGGGAGCTTGTGAGCAGGAATGTCATCTTTGAAGCTAGTTCTTCGGCCATTTTGCTCAGATTTGTGGTGTTTCAATGGCTCTTCCTCTGTCTGTGGCCGAGATTGGTTTCTCTAGTTTGCTTTTTTTTAGGTAGATCGTGGATTCAGATCTGGGTACGGTTCTCCTCGACGTGTTCTGTTGTTTTCTGCTTCTTGTTGGTGCATCGTCTTTCAAGGGGTACCGCTCGTGTTTGGAACTACTGGTGTTTGAAGTAGTCTCTGCTTCTTCCGTTGTTTCCACTACGAATGACCATGTTTGGACGGTGTTGACGTTGGCGGCGCAGATGCGGAGGTGGGGGATGCGTTTGGCTGCTAGCTTGGTGGTGATTAGGGCGCTGGTTAGGGTTGCTAATGGGTGGGTTTTTCGGGTTTGGGCATTGGGCTACCCACTGTTAGTCTTCTCTTTTGGGTTGCTAATGGGTGGGTTTTTCGGGTTTGGGCCTTGGGCTACCAACTGTTAGTTTTCTCTTTTCAGTTGGTGTTTCCTTCTTTTCAGTGTTTTTTATAAACTCTGTACACCGTGTTTCGTATTAATGAAACGACCATTCAACGTTCAAAAAGAGCGTTGCTGATGATGCTTTGCTTGCGTTTCAGCATCTTTTCCGTTAAATGGAAGTATGGTCAGTTGGTCACTGTGTTTATAAAATATTTTACATTTGTTACTAACAAATTTTAATTGCAATAATGGTTTGTCATTCCTATCGTCTAAAATCTTTGCTCTTCAGAGCATTGCCTTGTTGGCTCAAATCAACATACTTTTTTTATTGAAGCGATTTTTGCTTACTGGTCGTTAACTAAATTTCATTTCATCATTAGAGACTAGTTGTTTAAATTTGCTAACTTCACTCCACATGATAGTCAACACCTATAGTTGACCGTTTAAATTAATTTTGTGAAATAAAAATAAATTAAAAATGAATAAAAATATTAGTTAACCACTTTCCAACGACAAACCAAAATTTGATGAAACAATTTTGTTTGAGGAATTCAAAATTGACTCATTTTGAAGCAATTACAATTGTTTAGAGTGAGGGTAGACAATTCGAATTGACTCATTTTAAACGACTAATTTTATAAAATGAGACAGTTGACCAAATTGTCTCATTTTTTCATTTGATCCATTCTTTGAGATTATAGTGGTTTGAAATTTTTGTATTACAAAAATGAATAGTAGAGCAAACGAGGTCAAGCATTCAAATCTTAGGGGTCGTTTGCTTCATAGATTTATAAAATGAAGGTTTTGATATAATTTGGGTTTTGAAAAACCATGGATATAAGAGGGTTTTGGGTTCATTATTGATTTGATAAACACCACTGTTTTTTTTTTTGACAAAAGATAATCATATATTGATAGAAACCAATCGATAGTTACATCCTGGAAGCCAGCCAGGTCTGGAAATCAAAATAACGACACGTAGTCGGGAACAAAGAGAGGGCCTTTCTAGCTACAGTATGAGCTACCCTATTGCCACCCCGACCTACAAATCGTAAACTAAACCCCGGATTAACCCTGAAAATCCGAACCAGCTCCTCCAAAATAGTCCCAACCCGACTGTCGCAAACATCAGCCCTACAGATTTTATCAATGATCACCTTCGCATCCCCTTCGAATCGCATGACCGGAAATCTATGCGCTAAACACCAACAGACAGCTTCCCGAAGCGTAAGGAGCTCCACCACCATTGGTTCATCCAGGTCCGGAAATTGAATCCCTGCAGCCCATAATGGCGTTCCTGCCTCATTGAGAAGTACCATACCCCCTGCAGAATGTGACCCTCGTCGAACCGCCCCATCCCACCGACATACAGGTCCACCTGACTCGCTAGCTAACCCAATAGGGCGATCAGGTAGAAGAGCCGAGGGAGACTGGGGATCCCTCGGTAGGTCGAGCCATTCCCCTACTTGTTGGTTATACTGCCTCAATAAAACCGGAATGCTGAACTGTTTTCCTTCAAATACCACCCAATTCCGGGATCTCCAAATTCGCCACAGGATAGCAATCACCGCCAAGAACTGCGAAGGCTGATGAACAATAGCCAGCAATTTTTTAAGGAATAGGGGGAAAGTATGACGGGGTAACCCCTCGCCAAGAGACTCAAGCCCCGCCTGAGACCACAAAGCCCTCGCCACCGGACAATCAAGGAACAAATGCTCCATTGTCTCCCTTGAAGCCCAGCAGACCGGACAACGGGGCAAGACCTCCACATCCTTTTCTATAAGAGCCTCTGTCGTTGGTAAAATTCTGCTCAAGATTTGCCAGACAAACACCTTCAGCTTCGGGGGAATATTTGCGTCCCAAACCCGAATCCAACTCTGCTTATCCATCCAACTAACCTGAGCCCGCCATCTCCCACTCTGCCGGTCAAGAGAGACCGCCAAGTGATAAGCCGATTTCACAGTAAAAATCCCATCCTCCGTAACATGCCAGATCAAACGATCCTCGATATCCTGCCGCGGCAGGGGCATCGCCCTAATCACCTGGCAAGTCAGAGGGTCAAACCACTGGCTCAGCTTATCCTCGCACCAGCGCCCTTCCCCAGGATAGAGGACAGCCGAGACCGTCAGATCCCCATCATCCGGCAGAATCCGAGGGTTATACACAGGAGAAGAAGGAAGATGAGTCGGAATCCAATTGGAATTGAGCAAAGGAGCCTTCTGACCATTCCCAATCTGCCACCGCAAACCCTTGGACAATAACTGCCGACCAAAGAGAATACTTTGCCATCCCCAGGAAGGGCGGGAGCGCGGCTGAGCCGAAAGAAATGATCCCTGCGAAAAATACTTCCCTTTATAGATCTGGGCTAGGAGAGACTGGGGTTCATTCAGGATACGCCAACCGATCTTTGCCAACAGCGCCTGGTTAAACTGCTCGAACCGGCGAAACCCCATCCCCCCTCATGTTTACTTCTGCACAAATTTCTCCAGGAAATCCACCGAATCTTAGAACGACCCTCCTCAACCCCCCACCAAAACCTGGCCACATGCTTGTCCAGGAGACGACAAAGCGACAAAGGCAGGCGAAAGCAGGACATCACATGGAGCGGTAGAGCTAAGGCGACAGATTTAATTAGAGTTTCCTTAGCTTCCCACGACAAAGTCCTGCATTTCCAACCCTGCAATCGTTCTAAGAGTTTCTCCTCCACGTAGTGAAACGTGGCCGTCTTGGAACGAGCAATCAACGTGGGTAGACCAAGGTACTTATCTTGTACCCCTACAGCACCGACACCCAGGATTGCCGCCAAGAACTCCTAATCTGGTACAGAGACATTCTTACTAAAGCAAACAGCCGATTTCTCCAAATTTACCCTCTGACCACTAAGCTCCTCATACTCATTAAGAACTTCTATCAGATTCTCACACTCCTGGAGGGAACCACGGAGAAATAAGTAAGAATCATCAGCAAAGAACAAATGAGAAATGCGGGGAGCCCGCGGAGCCACCTTCACTCCTTCCAGCCTTTTTTCAGAGATTGCTTTACGAAGTAAGGCAGCAAAGCTCTCCATGCAAAGCACAAAGAGAAGGGGCAAAAGGGGATCTCCCTGCCGGAGCCCCCTTGAGGGTGTAAAGAAACCAGACGGAGAACCATTCATGAGGACCGAAAACGTTGTTGACTGCAAGCATTCCTGAATCCAACCACGCCAGGTCGAGTTAAAACCCATTTTCTCCAAAACTGCGAGAAGAAAGGACTACTCCACTCTATCATAGGCCTTTTCCATATCAACCTTCAGAGCCATGTATCCCTTTTTTCCTCGGGTTTTGATCTTCAAATAGTGCATTTACTCATGGCCAATCAGGATATTATCCACTATCTATCTTTCCCTGATAAAGGCATTCTGGCCATCAGAGACAATGAGAGGCAAGATCTGTGCCAGACGTTCCGCCATGATTTTTGTGATCACTTTATATATGAACTGGCATAAGCTGATGGGGCGAAGTTGACGCATGGACTCCACCTGATCCACTTTAGGAATTAGCGTCAACCAGGTGTGATTAAAACTCCGAAGCATCCTGCTTGTAGCAAAGAAGGAGCCAACCGCAACCATAACTGACTCCCCAACAATCCCCCAGTAAGCTTTAAAGAACTTCCCCGTGAAACCATCCGAGCCTAGCGCCTGTTTTGAACCCATAGCAAAGATCGTTTTGCGAATCTCCGCCGGACTAACCTCCGTGGTTAGGGTGGCATTCATTTCAGGAGTCACATTGGAAGCAATCGGAAGATCAACCACCCGTTTGTTCATATTGTGTACTTGGGATTCCGAGGTGAAGAGAAGTTGATAGAAATCGACCGCAACCTCCGCCTTCCCTTTCTCCTCCGTAACCCAATCACCACTGTCATTAAACAGACCCGAGACAAAAAATTTCTTTCTCCTGGTACGTGTGACCGTATGGAAGTAGGATGTATTCTGATCCCCTCTTTTCAACCAACGGAGACGCGATTTCTGTTGCCAGTACCGCTCTTCGGCCTCCCACTGCCTGTTCAATTCCGATTCTAGTGAAGTCACTTCCTGCCAATTAATCGGGTGAATAGCCTTTATCCTTGTAATTTCATTTTGCAAGGTATGGATATTGCGAAGGGAATTGGTGGTACCCGCTCGGCTCCAATCATAAAGTAAATGACGAAGCTTTTTCAATCTTTCCCACAACTGGAACATCGGGGTACCCTGAACAGGTTCTTGCCAAACGTACGCCACCATAGCCCTAACCTCTGGGTTATCCGCCCATCTGGCATCAAATCTGAATAGAGGGCGACACGTCCGGACATAGGGTTGATCAGACAGGAGTAACGCCCGGTGATCAGAACCTTGGTCCGTGAAATGCTTCACCAAAGTGTCAGGGAAACGATCCACCCAACTTTGGGAACACAGGGCCCTATCCAGTCTTTCTCGAATACAAGCCACCCCCATTCGTTTATTTGTCCACGTAAAAGGGTCACCCTAGTATCCTGGATCATGCAACCCAAGATCTTGGACCAGATTGCGGAGGTCTAGAGCTTGAGAAACATTCCAAGAATTCCCACCGTCCTTCTCTCCTTCATGAAGGGTCACATTAAGGTCACCAATGATCACAAAAGGGACCTGGAGACTTTCACAAATCTCTTGGATCTGGACCAATTGGGCTGCCCGCACAGTGATATTACACCTTAGGTAAACACAGAGCACCACATACGAAAAATCATTTTCATTAATTCTCAACCCAATACAAAAATTCGAATGATAAAAGACCGAAACATCGACTTCGGGGGCCCAGGCCACTACAAGACCACAAGAACCATTTAAAGCATCAACAAAAAAACATTGAGCCGACTCAAAACCTAAACCCCTCAAACGACGGGAAACTACACGCCTGGACGACCTTGTTTCTGAAAAGAAAACCAGGTCCGGATTATTCGAACGAACTAAACTAAAAGCTGACTGGAATGTGAGGGATGGCCCAATACCTCTCACATTCCAGGCCAGGAGCCTCATTTATCTGCTTGGGGCCACTCTTGGCTGGCTTCCTCCACCAAATCAGCATTAACAGTCTCAATTTGCTCCTCCACAAACTGCCTCTTTGGAGTGGGACTATCCGCGGACACCCCCTCCAGCTCTTGTAGTGACCTCTTTCGGTTTCCACCCTCCAAATTGGATCCATATTCATTAATCTTAAGGACCATCTCTTCCTTCGCCCCCTCCAACTTCCCCTTCACTTCATTGATCACTAGCCCTTCTTCAAAAGCAGCCATAACCTGTTTTACTTGCCCAGGCTGCACCAGTTGCTCCTGTTCTGTAGGCAGACGCCTATCCTTTATCACAAAGCGAGATGCATCCTCTTCCGATGGAGACTCATCGGAGAGGGCACACTCCTCCACCTTCTGATCATCCTCCACCGACTTCCCTTCGTCCACCACCGAACCTCCCGTCGCATGATTAATATAGACAGGAGCAGAGTGGACAACTTTGGCTTTTCCAGTCCCTTTCTTCTTTCCACCACGGGTCGGGTTCACCAGGCTAGTAGCTGCCACCTCCTCTCCCTGCAGGGTCAACGCAGACCCTTTCTGCTTGCGTCCCGGACGGGGGGTCGACTTCCCCTGGGAATTGCCACCAAGCTTCTTTGTCACCCCCACCTTCACCAGCTTGCGTCCCCTCGTTTTTTTTTTTTTGCACCTTCAGCCAGCGATGTTGGGTCTTTCTTTATGGGCATTGGAGGCTCAAAATCGTCCTCCATCTCCTCCAAAATCAGTCTTCGACGGTAGGTTTCAGTGGGAGCGAGTCTACCCACCCTGCGTTCCTCAGGCTGCGGAGGTTCTTCATCACCGACAATCACCACCTCGGGGCGGACGACAGACACATCCGGTTGCAAAGGCTGCTGCCTCTGCCGCCCCGCCCGAACTCCAGCTCCTTCCTGCCGCTTCTCAGCATGTCAGGGCGAGGTCGGACCCCTAGCAGAGTTGTCGGTTTGAGCCCGCATCGGGCGTGCAGCTCGGCCCACCTTCAGCGTCGGCGATCGAGACACGCGGAAGCCACGAGGGCTGGACTTGCGCTGCACTACCATCTGTTCAGGAGGGTCTGCCACCCGCGGGGAAGTTCGGAAATGACGGGGCTGGGGCTGGACAGGGGATTCATGCATCTCCCCACCATGCGCAAAGCCGCTCTCCTCCTTTCTTCCTTTTTGATCACGAAACGAGTTATTGATCCAAACCTTGGTGGCGCCTCTTGGGTAAGTGGACCCATTCTCCTCCGTATCATAAATACGGATCCCTAGTTTCCTGGTGGTCATATGAGGGCCATATCTTTCAGTTCGAGCTGGAGGATCGAAGGAGCAGGCCCGGAGAGAATGACCCACCCTACCACATTGGTAGCAGAAGCTAGGTAGGTATTCGTATTTTAAGCTCACCCAGAAGTTCCCTGTGTCATCATTTTTTGCCAGGATCTGAGATTGCAGGGGCTTAGTGAAATCCACAAGCGCTTTGACCTTTACAAACCAAGCCCCAGAATCTTGGCAGGCAAAAACTCCTGATTCCAGCACTCTCCCAATCGAAGCACCCACCATTTTCCTTCCAAACTGCTGCGTACAGCAATCCTCTCTAACATCCCACAATTGAATTCTGAACGGGGCAATTGCCAGGTCATCAAACGTTTGTTTCGTTATAGCTGGTGTCCACGGTCGGAGATGAATAAGCTGGTCATTGATGACCCAGGGTGTGCGCTTGAGCACCCATGTTTTGGTCTCCTCGTTTGGTAGCATAAACTCCACCAAACCTTGCTTGGCCAGCACCACCCTAATTCGCCCTTGGATGAGCCAGAGAGAGATCACCGAATCTCTCAACTCAGTCGTAGAGATCCTTTTGGATGTGAACACCCTACCCAGCAGCGAATGAGAAGCACGATACTTTGTTGATTGGACCTCTTCCATAGAAAATTGCACCACCTGGTTAGCGGAGATGTGCGCCATGATCCGGGCCTGCAAAAGAGGAGTAGGTAAATCAACCCTAGTCACCAAATTCCCCATTGATAGTGACTGCATGCCCATGCAATCTACGACCATAGGACTAGTGTCCTCCACCAAAAACCCTTTTTTGTTTTTACTCAATCCCCCAGGCTCACCACATAAAAGCGGATCATGTTCCAAAAACCTTGCTCGTGGAAGGAAAGTGGAGGAAGAGACCATACCTGCGTGGATAGGAAACCTTGGAGTGACGCCGACTTGCGCTGCTTTAGCTTGGTTTCTATCTTGCCACAAAAAATTGCTCAGGATAGAATAGTTATTAGCAGTCACTTTAAATAAGAGTCGGCTCACTCTATCAGGTTTTTCCAAAGCCACGCGGTTTAGGGTTAATCGAGACCAAATATGAGAGGGACTCTGCTTTCGAGGCAGATTGGCCGGGTTTTTTAATTTAAAAAATCCCATAATCTCGGTAGCAAGATTCGGGAAAGATATTCCCCCAACAACCGTACAAGGTGCAGAGGATTTCGCGTAACAGTAACCACCACTCGCAGCGTCCCCGACGACGGATCTCAGAGAGCAATCCGGCCACCGTAGGGAATCACTCCGACCAGGGCCTTTTGAAACGCTAGTAATCAAAGAGGGGGGAGAGGTAGTCCCGATTGCCATTTCCGAGTTGGCAACCATGAGGGTTGTATCAACTACCAGCTCCTCCACAGTCAACCCCTCCGTCAAGGGGTCATTATAGTCCGGTCGCCAGAGGTTTCTGCCCTGGACAAGAGTTTCTGATCCGCCAACACCTAATGGTGAGGAAGAGATAGTCCCGGTTGCCATTTCCATCTTGACACCCATATTGGCTTTGATGACTATCCGTTCCTCCAAATCAAATTCTTCCATTGAGGGGATCGTAAATGACCATGCTGCTTTTTTTGAGAATCGCCGTCGCTTGAAACTAGCGGTATTAAAGTCTTTATCTTCAGTTGTGATCACCAAAGATCGATCACGAAGGGTAGGTCTCCCATCACCAGGGAATATTTTGCGTCTCCGGCGATCGGTATAGGACGTTACCATTCTGTTGACATCGCTTTCCTCCTGGGTATCTGTGGAAGCGAAACACCTATGAATGCTTGAATCCCATTGTAGCCCCAAGACTGATTTCGCAGACATCTGAAGAATATTGAGATCAACACACTGATCAGGATTTTCCCCGCCCGCCGGGCAAGGCACAGGAGAGAGGAGAGAGCTCTCCTCATCCCTTTTTTTTTTGAATCACTGTTTGTTTGATGAATTTCATGATGAATTTTGGAAATTAAATTTGTATATATGTAGTAAAATTTATCTATATTGCCCGCAATAATCTAAGAAGAGAAAGGAAATATGGGGTAGGTTGGTAAAACATTATGGACTTTAAAGTCCATGATCAATTTCTAGGGGTGGTAATCGGTAAACCGGTATTCAGTATTATCGGATACCGACGGTATTCGGTATACCAAATACCAGCAGTATGGGTATTCGGGCGTGTAATTTTCCATTTGGTAATACCGGATAATAGGCGGTAATTACCGACGGTATACCGGTATACCAAATATTAAAAATAAAAAGTAATATGCACCGCACAAGGGGAATGAATTTGGGAATTACGAATTTGGATTTGGGGGCAGCAGAGGTCGACCAGCAAGCAGCAACACTAATCCCTAATAATTTCGATCGACCTCCCTCCCTCATCTCTCCCCAGCAGCCAACTCCTTCTCCTTTGATTCGCTGCCCCCTGCAACCAACCCTCTACTCCATCCCTTTCATCGTCAGCAAGTCCTGAGGAAGAAGACGACCCCTCCATCGCCCTTTCAACGTCAACAAGTCCTGAGGAAGAAGACAAATCCAACATCGCTGCCCGATCAAGCTCCAAAATAGAAACATCCCGCGGAGGTTGCAGCTTCAAACTCCCGGCGGCACCCTCGGCTGATGGCTAGATGAAGCCAGGAGGAGGATCATAATTCTTTGGTCTCTTCTGGTATCCAAATCAGAAAAATAAATAGGAATTCTTCGGTATTAAATCAGTTTACCGACTCGCTAAACGTCCTCTCCATGTACATACCCAGTATTCAGTATACCGCTATTAATACCGGATACCGACTATTCGGTATTCGGTATACCGGTCAACATTCAATATCGGTATTTGGCGAGTACACTGTCTGTTTCCGGTATACCGAATCCCTACCAGATACCGACCGACTACCAGACCTATCAATTTCCACCTAAAGTGATGGATTTTCAAATTCGTGGGGTCCATGAATTTGTTACCTCTAACCACTTGAAGCAAACAACCACTTGAAGCAAACAATGAATTTTGAACAATGTCCATCATGAATCCAAATCCCTAACCAAATCCTTCCCTAAATCATTAAGCAAACAACCTTCGATGTCTCTCGCCTAAGGTTCCTACTTCCTAACTTTAATATATAAAAGCCTAGGTTGTGACTTGTGAGTTACTATTCATCAGTGACACTCACACTCCTCCAAGTGCAAATGGGGAAGTTCCAACTTCTTCTTTTACCCCACTCTCCATTCTACAACCTTTGTGTTTAGTTATTGTTTGCTAGGTTTTCGTCTATGGCTTTTTGCACAAATTATCACCTTTGTGTTTTGTTATTGTTTGCTAAGTTTTCGTCTATGACTTTTTGCACAAATCATCGCTTTGGTGTTTAGTTATTGTTCGCTAGGTTTTTGTCTATGACTTTTTGCTTTTTCCACAAATCATCGCCTTTACCCACAATTTTGCAGCTCATCTCGAAATACTATCAGCGGAATCCTAAGTTGTTCCCCACCACCGTTTCCCAAGCCGCTACCACGAGTTTTGTATCGGTGCCGAGTTTCATCCTCTTTAGTGTTTTTTTCTTTATTTTTTCCCTTTTTGTTGAGCATGATCACAATTGAACCCAAACCCATCTCTAAATACTGTCGGCGAAATCCTAAGTTGTTCCCCACCATCGTTTCCCAAGGCCGCTACCACGAGTTTTGTATCCAGATCGAGTTTCATCCTCTTTAGTATTTTTTTTCTTTTTCTTTTTACTTTTTGTTAAGCATGATCACAATTGAACCCAATGCCGCCCGCTACCGAAAATCCATACCATGTCTACTCAATGTTGGCGAGTTTTGTATCGAGACCGAGTTTCGTTCGCTTTAGTGTTTTTTCTTTCACTTTTTCCTTTTTGTTGGAGTCATGAGCGAGTTTTATTCGCTTTAGTATTTTTTTTTATCCTTTTCCTTTTGGTTTAGAATGACAATTGTGTCCAAACCGAACGCATGGGTATACAACCTAATTCGACCAGATCAAAGCGACTTGAACCCGATTTTACAAGTTTTCGGCGGGAGCGAGTTTTATCTGTTTTTGTAATTGGCGTGTTGTGTCAAGTGTGAATTTGTCCAAAACTCGATCCAACCAGGTCAAAGTGAGTTGAACTTGGTGTTGACGAGTTTTGAGTCGGTAGCGAGTTTTAGCTTTAGTGTTTTTCATTTTGCTTTTTTGTTTTGTTTGAGAAAGACAATTGAACCCAAATCCATGGGTATCCAACATAATTTGAAAAGATCCAGATAAGCTGCTTCATTCTGCAAAAGTTATAGTAGGATCAACTACTAGCCATACAAATTGAAACATTGGCGTCATGAAAGAAGTTTAAACATAAATAATCTATTCGACGATCATTCTATCTTATGCAAGTTCATCGACCAAATACTATTGTAAATAACAAACCTATGAAAAGAATGATTACGAATGAAATAAAAATTACTTTCAGATTTAGGCCAACATTAAAACTATTACTCATTAAAATATTTATTTATTCTGATACGCGAACCGATAGCTAGCGGGTTTTTGCTAGTTTGAATGAATGTACACTAGGGATGGCAACAAAATCCGAACCCATGGGTACCCTACCCGACCCAACCCGATCAATGCGGGTAAAACCCGTGTTGACGGGTTTTGGGCAGGGTTCAGGTTTAAACCCGCTACACCATCACTGGGTTGGGTTGAGTTTGGATTTAGGCAAACCAACCCCATGGGTACCCGCCCACACTCATATAATTAATTTTTTTCAGTATATTTAACATTCTAAACAATATATCTTCCTTAAACAACTAATCTTTTTATGTTTGTGGAGGCATGCCTAATTTGTTCTTTCTAATTGTGTACGATGAAGTTGATATTATGGAGTGGAGAGTGAAGAAGCTTAGTTGACAAGGAGGACGGAGCTGTCAATTAATCATATTGTTTATAATGTTTATCTTTAATTTTGAATAATTTGTATTGATAATTTGCGGTTTGCTTGTATGCTCTAGATTGGTGTTTTTTTGTATGAATAATTTTTATGAAAAAATTGATGTTAGACTTTTATTTGGAAGAAACTTGTTATTGTAAATTTTTTACCGCAAAAATCCACGGGTACCCATGAACCCGCGGATACCCAGCGGGTTGGGTTTGAGTTTTTCAAACTCAGCGGGTTTTACCCCAAATTTTTTTGCGAATAAACCCATGGATTTGGGTTTCGCAAAACCCGCCCCAACCCGACCCATTGCCATCCTAATGTACACATATCTCCACTTTTTTTTTTTTTTTTCGTCCCCGTATACTCTATTGGACAGAAGGCATTTGGAAACGGCTAGGTTCAAAAGGACAAAAGCAAAGCAACGGCTATATCTTGAATTGCAGCTATCTAGTCTCGTTTCAAATTCAAATTCATCCATTCTGGTTCATTCCTCTCTCCACTCCGCCTAAGTACCGCCGCGCCTCCCCCGCTTTCCTACGCGCCGCTTCCACCGCCAAAACCGATTCGCTTAGCTTCCTTACTTTCCCCGTAGCGGCTCCTAGCTCTGATCTTCTCGATTGAAGTTCCCGATAGTCGCTGGCTGAGAGTAGTTGGAAGTTCAGACAACGCAACTCACTCATCTTTCGGCTCCGCGTCTGGCAGATAGCAGTTAGTAGCAGCGAACTAATCCCTGAAGAATGGCTATGGAGGGTCAGAGTGGGACGAGCTTAGATCCAGAGACGCTGTTTCTCGCATCCAAACAAGAGACTGGGAACGAGTGGGAACTCTTCAAAGAAAATGTCAAACCCTTGAAGAGAGGCCGCAACGTTTCCGTACTCAACCACGCTCTCAAATCCCAAACCAACAACCATCTCAAGGCCTCTCTTCTCCAGACCCGAAGGTTTTTTGTTCGATCTTTCGTCGCCAATGATTTCGCTTCTTTTTCTTTGGATTTGATGAGCAAAACCCTAACGGCCCTCTTTTCCCCCCTTTCTCAGGAAATTGGTTGAGGCAATCGACGAGTATAAGGGTACCGACCCTCTTCTTCCTTGGCTCCGGTAAGTGAATCCCTGGAATCCGAATTAGCTAGCTTCACGGTTTCTCCTTCCTTGAACTTCGCTGAAACTGACTTTGAATTGATACTCTTGTGTGGTATCTAAGGTGCATTAGATGGGTCCAGGAAGTTTTCCCCGCTTCTGGTGATTCCTCAGGCCTCATACTGATATATGAGCAGTGCGTGCGCGCTTTTTGGGATTCCGCGCGCTACAAGGATGATCTTCGCTACCTCAGGGTGTGGCTTCAATATGTGAGTTCCATGATCTGTTCCCAACTTTGATTTTCATTTACTTCCAAGGAGAGAATTTTGGTGTCATTAGTAACGTGTGGGATGGGATCATTTCAGGCTGAATACTGTGACGATGCTCAAATCATCTACAGCTTTCTTGACGACAATGGCATAGGGAAGTCGCATTCTGAGTTCTACATGGCATATGCTTTGCACCTGGAGTCCAAGAACAAGTTGAAATCTGCCAACGACATTTTCACTCTAGGATTGTCTAGGTGAGTGAGTCTATCCTTGTATTCCGGCTTCTTTTAATGTATTCGTTGATGGGATTTCCCTGTAATGTCATCTTGAATATCTTTTTTAAGGTTTATACTGCATGGCTCATTGCGAATTGGATACCAAAGATGGTATGATTAGATAAGCAAGATTGTATCTTGCGTTCATTACCAGCTCCATCTGCAATGTGCAATAGGAATGAATGTTGTAACTATTGAGCTGTGTTCCAAACAGATTCCTAAGACAAGGACAAGACATGCAACTGAAACCCTAGAAAGGAATTTGGCTGCAAGATTCACCCATGATAACTTGACAGTGACAATTATAGCGCAATGATATCTGCAATCTGTACAATCTTTGATAATGTGTTTGATTTATGTCTCTTAACGCTCATTCTTACTGCTTGGACTATTGGGTTAGTTCCCAAGGACCAATTTTGTTTTCAAATTATTAATGAATTACATTTTCCCAGTTTCTTGATTGGATAGCGGGGGAGCCATGCACTTGCTTCCTGCCCTTCTGTTTATCAGTGATATAAATTAACAGACATTGCTACTCATTACAGGGATGCGCAGCCTTTACATAAATTGAAGGATGCCTACAAGAAGTTCCTCATCAGATCAACAAATGGAAGCACGACTAAGGAGGTATGGTGATGGAACTTCTGTCTCCTGGTCGGTTTTAGGTCCTTTGCCTACCAAACTAGGAGGAAACGAAAGGCTTATTCGTAAATTACCCTTCTGCAGGAGGATAGTAGAGAAAGTGCATTAGCTGTGAGAAGCTTTGGGACTGTCCTTACTGGCTTGGAAAATAGTAAGCTTTTCTAGCTCATCTTGTTGTCTATCCAACTCTCCAAGAACTAATGAAGCAATTTACACACTTCGCAGGAAGGAGACACGGGCCGAGTTCAGATCTTGCAGCCAGAGGGTTGAAGCCAGACAAGTAAGCATGATCTCTCTTGGGTGGTGGTTGTTCTGCTGTGTGCCCACTTCACCCTACCTACCTTTCTAACCCTTGAAGTTAGGGAGAGCTTAAGTGATTTAAGGGAACATGCATTGATCAGAATTCGTGGAGTTTCGGCTGTTTTGTTATTTCTTTGGCATTGCTTTGTCCAGTTAGTACTAAACAGCAGTTGTGATTTCTTTATATCGCCTATAGGGCTCAAAAGGCTTCTCCATTTGCTATCTATGAAGACTCCAATGGAGATGCAGCAGCGCCTGTTCATGAACAACCAAAGAAAGATCCGTGGCACAATCTTGGGCGCCGAGCTGAGAGGAACAAAGAAAATAATGCGATACCGACAAAGTGGTCGTTACACAAGGTTTGATTAAGCCTCACTCTCTGTGGAGTGGGCATCTCACTGTCCTTCTCTTCTCCATATGAACCTCAATTTTTTTTTTTTAATAAACTGGATGATTTGCCTGCAGATTCCGCAGAAACCTGCAACAACAAGTGCCGCCTCATCCTCCATTATCGAGGTGTTTGTGGACGAGGAGTGCAGCACCGAGTAAGAGTTTCCTACAAACTCAGAGGACTGGTTCTCTGTGTCTTTTGTTTTCAGTCCCCATTTCCGTTTTCCTTAACACGAATTCTGTTTCCAGGGCGGTCGGTTCCCACGAAGGGAATGGGAAGAAGGAGGCGAATTTCTTGCAGCTGAGGCAGGGGGACAGTCTAGACATAAAAAAGTAACACCCCATTACCAAGCCAGTATCTTTCATCTTCGTATCCATTCTTATTCTTCTTGTTGAACTCATCTTCACCCCACGCTTCAAATGTGCAGAGAAGCAGAGTTACTGCGGGAGAATCCGCTGCGCAATTTTCATGGCGGCAGCAACAGTCTTCCCAGATGATATGTGGTCATTCTGAAGCCACAGGATTAACCTCGGCAAGTTGTTGTTTTGCTTGTTCAAGATGGATTGATTGCCAGAGAGAGACACCAGCACCTGTTCACCAAGCTTGTTTGTGCTCATGTGATGCATCTCTTGTGCCTCCGGGAAGAGACTTGACACAGGGCTCACTATTAAACTTCCAGAATTGTTGTACGTTCACTATTTTTTAGCAATTGTTGTTAGTCAAGAGAAAACAGGGCTCGCTATTAAACTTCCAATAAAAATTTGCGTTACATTTTGTTACGAGAGACAAAATTGGCAAATTCGCCAACTTTCGTATGATAATTCGAAATATACTATAATGAAAGAAAGACAATAATTAAATTATTAGGGTTTCCATATTCTTATTCATTAAATTGAAGAACAAGTACATGTTTATAAGCAACTAGAATCAATGCCCGCTGCTACGCCGCGGAAACTAAAGTTGCAGTAGGATGATCGTATGGTGAGCAGTTTAGGTGACACAAATTGAGGTTGTATTATTAGTCATGGTGTGGGTTTCAAAGTATCAGAAGTCTGTTTAGGATACATTTTTATCTTGAGTTCCACAGGTAATTAGCATGATACATTATCAAGAAACACGGGTCATTATCATTTTCCATGTCTTAAGAAATACACACAGTTGTTGTTCCATGTATTAGGAAATACACAATAACCGTAATTAACCGCAAAACAACACTCCAAGCAACTATGTTTGTACCTTGGACGCATTTCGCCCACGAAGAGCAACAATGTTTGTACCTTGGCTCGCATTTTCGCCCACGAAGAGAGTTGATCATGCACTAATGTTTGCACAGTGTAGTACAATTAGTAAAAAAGAATGCTCTCTCATTCATATAATGCGTTATTTTGGCATGCAATACAGAATTATGAAAAGAAGAAAAGAGATTGACATCTAACAGCAAAGCAGAAACCATTTTGTCCATTTACCGCCGGGATCAAGCTGGTGAATCATGTAAAGATTGTAAGCCCAATTCCCGTAGGTAACTAGGGAATAATTGTGGCCCAAGTGTAATTATCACTTAATGATTTAATATATAAGGTAAATCCTATATTGATTAGGTTAATGAAAGGTAAATTCCTAATATGCCCTGATGGTGGGTCTATATAAAGAAGCTCTAGGATTGGTCCTCTCTCAACCCATTACGTAGAATTTCTTAGCCATCACAGAAATCTCTAAACCTAAAACCTAAAGGGGTCAAGAGGGAGAAACTCAATTCCGGTGATTACTACTCCAGCGCCGCCGCCGCTCTCGTCATGGATCGAGGTAGGTTTTCTCGATCTATTATCGATTCGTGAAATCATCTAATTCTAAGATCAATGCTATTATGATCTATGTTTACATGTGGTATCAGAGCATTAGGTTTATAAGAATAGATGTTTTTCGATTATGTATTTTTCCGCTGCATCTGTACGCATGCTAATTATATTCAAGGCCATTATATTCACAATAGCTGCGTATGCGAGAACCATTGCCATGCTAATTATATTCAAGGCCATTATGCTTCGGCTGTAGGGTTTCTAATTGTCTATTCGCAATTTTCCTTTATTTGTACCTTTTGTCCAGTCTATGGAATGGATATTATTTGTCTGTTCCTTTCTCACATATGATGCAAGTGGACAAGGGCACCTCCTCGCTACCAGGGGGTGAAGGATTTGTATTTTATTGGTTAAGCTATTGCTTTATCAAATTCCAATTCTATTAGCTTTGTCGTTTATTGACAAGGTCTTGCTTCTGTGGGTGCAATTATATATGTTTGATCAAATTCCATGAGTTCTTTCATGTTGCTATTTATTGGCTTCGGCTATAATATGTTTGAGTTTCTTGATAATGAATTTGATCAATAGGCTTAATGGTTGATCAGTTAAGCAATTATTATAATAGTAACCTATTAATGAGTCAAGTTTTGCGTATGTGTATTTGAGAATTATAATTAACAATTGCTTTGATGTGAGTTAAATTATATCTTTGATATCTATGTTATGATTAAATTTGTTAGTCACCAAAGTGGCCAAATTAGAAGGTTTATAGATATCAAGTTGAATCAAGTTCAACTACTAATGTTTATGTGATGCTTTAAAGTTGAAGTTCGTGATTATAAAATATTTTCGAATCGCCCAAAGGTTGATTGCTCGTTTTATAATTCATGAACATTATCGTGGTAAATTGATGTGCTTGGTTAGATATATTTAGTATATCCAAAGATTGCAAGTATATCTAATTTGAGTATGTCTATCACCAATTATATGATTATTTTGAGCATCAATTACGATTATTTATCGCATATATATTGTTGTTTTGCCCAAAGGTAGCACCAATATATGTTTTATGTTTATGTTTCCGAATCTGTATTATAGTTTATGCTTATTACCCAAAGCATTAATGTGTGAGTACATGTTATATATGTTTGCAGCATCTGTTCTTGTTTCTCTTCATTCGCAAGCCACGTCTGTTGTTAAGTTTAATGGCCTCAACTTCTCTGAATGGGCTGAACAGGTTCAGTTTCACCTCGGTGTTTTGGATCTTGATTTGGCACTCTTAAGTGAGAAACCTGCTGCTCTTACTGATGCTAGCAGTGTTGAGGAAAAGTCTTTCCATAAAGCTTGGGAAAGATCTAACAGACTAAGCCTAATGTTTATGCGAATGACTGTAGCAAACAACATTAAGTCAACTTTCAATGATACTGAAAGTGCTAAGGAATTTATGAATTCCGTGAAAGAAAGCTCTCAATCTGAGTCTGCTGATAAGTCGCTTGCTGGGACACTAATGGGTACGCTAACCACCATGAAGTTTGATGGTTCTCGTACCATGCATGAGCATATCGTCGAAATGACAAACATTGCAGCAAGACTAAAGACCATGGGAATGGAAGTGAATGAAAATTTCCTAGTAACGTTCATCCTTAATTCCTTACCTCCAGAGTATGGCACATTCCATGTGCATTACAATACTCTAAAGGATAAATGGAATGTGCATGAGTTACAAAGCATGCTCATTCAAGAGGAAGCAAGGCTTAAGAAACCAGGAAATCATTCTGCCAATCTTGTTGGTCATAAAGGAGCTGGAAAGAAACCATGGAACAAGAATGGGAAGGGCAAGGAAGGACTATCAAAGCTTAATGAGTCATCTGCCAAAATCCACAAGAAGGAACCAAGTAAGGATATATGTCGCTTCTGTAAGAAAGCCGGACATTATCAGAAAGATTGCTTGAAAAGAAAGGCATGGTTTGAAAGAAAGGGTAAGCCTAGTGCTTCAGTATGTTTCGAATCAAATTTAACTGAGGTTCCTTATAATACTTGGTGGGTTGACACTGGTTGTACCATTCATGTTTCCAAAACGATGCAGAGATTCCTTACGACCCAAACCATAAGGCAAAATGAGAAGTTCATCTATATGGGAAACCGGGCCAAAGTTCCAGTTGAAGCTATTGGGACTTATCGTCTGGTTTTAGATACTGGTCATCATTTGGACCTTGTCAATACCCTTTATGCCCCTTCTATTTCTCGAAATTTGGTTTCGGTGTCTCAACTGGATAAGGCTGGGTATTTTTGGAACATTGGAAATGGTTCTATTAGTTTGTTCAAACAGAATGTTTTATTGGGTTCTGGTACCCTTGTTGATGGTTTGTACAAACTAAAGCTTGATACCCTATTCGCTGAGACTCTCTTAACCTTGCATCATAATGTTGGTATTAAACGTGGTTTGTTTGATGAATCCTCTGCTTACTTGTGGCATAAACGTTTGGGTCACCTATCCAAAGAAAGAATGGAAAGGCTAGTAAAGAATGAAATCCTTCCTCATTTGGATTTTACTGATCTTGGAATTTGTGTTGAGTGTATTAAAGGAAAACACACAAAACACACACTTAAGAAAGCAGCCACAAGAAGCTCACAGCTCCTTGAAATTATACACTGATATTTGTGGGCCTTTTGATGTTCCATCACTTGGTGGAGAAAAGTATTTCATTACCTTTATCGATGATTTTTCACGTTATGGATATATCTATTTGCTGCATGAAAAATCTCAGTCGGTAGATACCCTTGAGGTGTTTATCAATGAAGTTGAGAGGCAATTAGAAAGAAAGGTGAAAATTGTCAGATCTGATAGGGGTGGAGAATATTATGGAAAATATGATGAAAGTGGACAGTGCCCTGGTCCATTTGCTAAGTTCCTAGAAAGACGTGGTATTTGTGCTCAATACACTATGCCAGGAACACCGCAACAAAATGGTGTTGCAGAAAGGCGGAATCGTACTTTAATGGATATGGTTAGGAGTATGTTAAGCAACTCATCTTTACCCAAATCATTGTGGATGCACGCTTTAAGGACCGCTGTGTATTTGTTAAACAGGGTTCCTAGTAAAGCAGTTTCTAAGACACCTTTTGAACTGTGGACGGGAAGGAAACCCAGTTTAAGGCACCTGCATGTTTGGGGTTGCCCAGCGGAAGTGAGAATATATAATCCACATGAAAAGAAACTGGACTCACGAACAATCAGTGGTTTTTTCATTGGTTATCCAGAAAAATCTAAGGGGTATCGATTTTATTGCCCTAACCATAGTACGAGAATTGTTGAAACTGGAAATGCTAGGTTCATTGAGAATGGTGAAGTTAGTGGGAGCTTAGAGCCTCGCAATGTGGAAATTCAAGAAGTTAGAGTGCAAATATCTTTACCTCTACCCTCTTCTCAAGTTGTTGCTCCTGCACATGTTGAGCATGATAACGATTTGCAGGAACAACAAATGAACGGTCAAGCACCACCTAATATTGCTATTGAGAATGAACCTAACATAGATGAACCACATGAAATTGCATTAAGAAGGTCTACAAGAAATCGAAGGCCTGCAATTTCTGATGATTATGAGGTTTATCTTCACGAGTTAGAATCTGATTTAGGACTCTATCATGATCCAGTTTCATTTTCACAAGCCATGGAAAGTGAGCATTCTGATAAATGGTTAGCTGCCGCGAAAGAAGAGATGAAATCTATGTATAAAAATGAAGTTTGGGACCTTGTTGATTTGCCTGAAGGTTGTAAAAGAGTTGGTAATAGATGGGTGTGGAAGACCAAACACGACTCTAATGGCAATATCGAAAGACACAGGGCCAGACTTGTTGCCAAAGGTTTCACTCAGAAAAGTGGTGTTGACTATAAAGAGACATTTTCGCCCGTCTCTAAGAAAGACTCCTTAAGGATTGTCATGGCAATGGTAGCTCATTATAATCTAGAGCTCCATCAGATGGATGTGAAAACTGCCTTTCTGAATGGGAATTTAGATGAAGCAGTCTATATGGATCAACCTGAAGGTTTTGTGGTTGAGGGAAAAGAACATATGGTATGTAAATTAAAGAAGTCAATATACGGACTTAAACAAGCTTCCCGACAATGGTATATTAAGTTCAATGATACCATTACATCTTTTGGATTTAAGGAGAACATCGTCGATCGATGTATATATCTGAAGATTAGTGGGAGTAAGTTTATAATTTTAGTTCTGTATGTTGACGATATCTTGCTTGCTACAAATGATCTTGGTTTATTACATCAAACCAAGGAGTTTCTCTCTAAGAACTTTGAAATGAAGGATTTGGGTGAGGCATCCTATGTGATTGGAATAGAAATATTTCGTGATAGATCACAAGGACTGTTGGGATTGTCTCAGAAATCATACATTAACCGGATCCTAGAGAGATACAACATGGCTGAATGCTCTGCAAATGTCGTTCCAATTCAGAAGGGAGATAAATTTAGTCTCAAACAATGTCCAAAGAATGAATTGGAACGCAAGCAAATGGAACACATTCCTTATGAATCTATTGTTGGAAGTTTGAATTATGCACAAACTTGTACCAGACCATACATCAGTTTTGCTGTCGGAATGCTGGGCAGGTATCAAAGTAATCCAGGAGTAGATCATTGGAAAGCTGCAAAGAAGGTACTAAGGTATCTGCAAGGAACAAAAGACCACATGCTCACCTTTAGGAGATCTGATCACCTTGAGGTGATTGGATATTCAGATTCAGATTATGCTGGTTGTGTAGACACCAGGAAGTCTACTTTTGGCTATTTGTTTCTTCTAGCCGGAGGGGCAATTTCATGGAAGAGTGCAAAGCAGTCTGTTATTGTCACATCCACTATGGAAGCTGAATTCATAGCTTGTTATGAAGCTACAAATCATGGTTTATGGCTGCGGAATTTTATTTCTGGACTTGGAATTGTCGACACTATCGCCAAGCCGCTGAAAATTTACTGTGATAATTCCGCAGCGGTATTCTTCTCTAAGAATGACAAGTATTCGATGGGTGCTAAGCATATGGAGGTGAAATACTTTGTCGTTAAGGAAGAAGTTCAGACAGAAACAAAGGGTGTCGATCGAGCATATTAGCACACAGCTTATGATTGCTGATCCATTAACAAAAGGATTGCCTCCTAAGACATTTACTGAACGTGTCGAAAGGATGGGGATTATAGGACGTCATGACTAAAGTTATTTTATGTTTCATGGATTGACACTTTGAGCTCATTTATTTTGTTTCTGGAATAAAGTCATGAATCTTGTTTTATTTATTATGACCAGTATATATACATTATGCATTATGTGAACAGAACAAGATTTTGTCTTTAGTGAAGACAGTATTGTTGGACCATTATGACTACCTTGTTATGTGTCAAATTGAGCATGAGACTGGTTTAGTGGTACATGGAAGGGACTATGTCGATAAATTGATACAGAACCGCCATGATCCTAATCTAGCTTTCATACTTGATTATGACTTTATGGTGAACCAAATATTATGGATTTATCTTATGATGTGCACACTCATGTTTATTATTAGATCTTGTGATATATAATGACACATGGACCAAGTGGGAGAATGTAAGCCCAATTCCCGTAGGTAACTAGGGAATAATTGTGCCCCAAGTGTAATTATCACTTAATGATTTAATATATAAGGTAAATCCTATATTGATTAGGTTAATGAAAGGTAAATTCCTAATATGCCCTGATGGTGGGTCTATATAAAGAAGCTCTAGGATTGGTCCTCTCTCAACCCATTACGTAGAATTTCTTAGCCATCACAGAAATCTCTAAACCTAAAACCTAAAGGGGTCAAGAGGGAGAAACTCAATTCCGGTGATTACTACTCCAGCGCCGCCGCCGCTCTCGTCATGGATCGAGGTAGGTTTTCTCGATCTATTATCGATTCGTGAAATCATCTAATTCTAAGATCCATGCTATTATGATCTATGTTTACAAAGATCACTGGCATTATTACTTATGACTGCAGAAGGACAACTTACTTAGTTACTTGCTTATCGAAGCTATTGATAGATTAATACACTTCAGAGTTGAAGCCGAACAAACTGAAAGAGGAACTCAGAGAGTAAATAAATGACAAAATTTTCATAATATTCTTTGCCGAGAATAGAGTTAAGCATGACTAAAGGAATGCTACATGAAGATACTCCAAATCCTTCTCATCCCAGCAGACCGAAGCTTCTGTTACATTGATGAACGCCTTGAAATCCCTTTTTTGTCTTCGTAAATCAGCTTCTGGTCTTGATTGTGTAGTTCAGTTGGTCCAGTCAACATCTTCTCTCGCTGGAGTCCTTTCCAATCCATGGGTAGTTACACAAAGGAGAAAGGTAAAGGTGGGATTTTCACTTACCGAATGAGGGCTGAGAGTTGGTGTTGATTTCGTGGAAGTTTGGCCTGTACTTGTCTCGGAACCGGATTTTCTACGGAGGAATGGTTTTTTCTTAAGCGCCAATTCCAGCTCATGTGTATCCATCTTGGAGGGAATCAATAGAAAAGGGAAAATATCAATGAACAAAACCTCGGCCCTCGGGTAGATGAACAACCAAAAAACTGAATCCCCATTGGAGAGCCGCCATATTGCAGCAGAGAACAAAATATTGGAGTTAAATGAGAAGGTAAATTTCTATTCTTTGGCGGCAATCAACTGGCTACTTCTCGGTGGATTTTTTATTTTACTTTCTAGTCTTTCTCCCCTCCTCGGCCGCCGCCGGGCTTCTTCCGTCTTCCAGCTTGAACATCGGCGCTTCCACCAACTCCCGCTTCGGCTTCCTGCTGCTCCATCACCACCACGGTCGGTTTCCGTCGTTCCTCCCCATAGCTAGGGCCCGAGCATCATATTCATTGCCACGGGCATGCTCTGCGACGAGATTCCAAAACTGAGATATTGAAATTAACAGTATCGACAAAGAACACAGTAAAGTAAGAGCCCATCAATCCATCACCAGCGGTTCTGTCCACCGCCTTTGGTTCTGCCACTGTCGGTGAGGGAGAGAGTGACAGAGATCCAGAAAGCTGTCAGTTGTGGTCCGGTCTCCCGCTTTGATGCTATGAACAAAGGTCACTGGGGGCAGAGAGAAGATGAAAAGAGCTGCATGGAGGCATGAGGAGAGGCAACAGCCGATGAGAGGTCTTGCCGAAGCTCTTGGGGGAGAATGGGAACAGAGTAAGAAAAGAGCTGAAGAGGAGGAAAGTGACTGGGTGGGGTTAGGCATAAGATTTCAGTCCTTTCGGAATTGAGCAAACGAAAGCGTGGCCTGCTGGATTGATGGGCGATGGCGTGTTCGGGCCGCTGTGGAGACAGCGGAAAATATGGAAAAGCAGAATGGACCGGTGAGAAGACAGACATGATTGGAAGACTACTCTTTCAATACTGATTTGGGGGGAAAGCAGCAAGAGAGTGGTACAGTCAGTCCACTGTAGCGAGATATGGACGGCAACTGCGAATTGTAGGGCAAGCCTAAATAGAAGGCAGGAAACCGTAGTCCGTAGGTATGGAAAGAGTGAGGTACTGAGGTTGGAGAAGGAAGTCAGTTGAGGAAGCCCCTCCAATCGCCAAGGAATGAAACAGTAGTAGCAAATTTGGGTGAAAAAGTGCACCCAGCTTTCATGTGTTAAAGAACTAGCACCGGGTCCCGGCCTTTTGGCCGGAAGAGCATATATTTTATAATTATATATAATGATGGATATGATAGATGTTCGGAAATGCATGTATGTCTATGTATGCATAATGTGATTAGAATATAATAAAAGAGGAGAAATATGATTTAAGAAATAAATATAATTATTCAATAAAAAGATGAATATATATAAATCAATATTTAAGTAGATCATAGAATTGAATATTAGAGGTGCTTTTCATAATACCTACGTAGTTGCACTTAAGAATGAAAGAAAATTACTGGTCTCTAATAGAATTCAATATGTTAATTGAAGTGATTTTCCGAGTAAAGAGCATCCTTGTTGATAACAACGCGAGTAATGGATATGAAGTTGCAAAATTTTAAATATATATGACATGATGGGAAGTTGTCACTAATATTCAGTTGGACAATGTATTGTGTATGGGGTGACCGGCCAAATGACTCTAAGATGTATATATGACCAGCAACAATATAGTAATCTCCCTGCAATATATATATATATATGGTGGCTACTTCGGTGCACTCACTTTTTTGGGTGCACAACTCTAAAAGAGGTCATAATACATCGATTTTGAACTTTAATTGGTAGCATTAGTATAATATGAAGATATAACATAGAATCACAACTAATCAATCCATTACCCTAACCCATTAACCTTCAATTTTGAATCCCAAACCAAAATCCCAATTTGTAAACCTAAACCCTAACCCTAAATCGCTAAATCCTAAATCCTTAAAATTAAAGTAAATCCAAAATAATTTTTGCAAAAATTCATGTGTTTCTTGTTCATAATATCATAAGCGACAATCGATATCGTTTTGACATGAATCGCATGCTCGGAATGATAATTATGAGGCAGGTGCATTGAATGCACCCAAAAAAGTGAGTGCACTGAAAACGTCACCGTATATATATGGTGCCTTCTACGGTACCCCGGCTGAAATCCGGGGTACCGCATACCTTGAGTATGAAAACACTATCTAGACCTCGAATTAGCATGATTTTTGGGCATGATACTATACCCTAACCCTTAATGAGTGAACCATAGGTCCTAATTATCTAAATCATAAACTATAAACCCTAAGATGGTGCATTACTTTTTTTTTGCCTATATTTGGACAAATCATAACCGTCGATTATTGTTTCTAATTAAATTGATCTTGGGGTATAAGATTTAGAGAATTAAGACCTATATTTTGATCTTTATGGGTTAGAGTATAGTATAATGTGTGAAAGATCAGTCAATTCAAGTTCTAGATAGCGTTTTTTTACTTAAGGTATGCGGTACCCTAGATTTCACCCGGGGTACCGTAGAACTCCCCATATATACATATATATATATATATATAAAAATAATGAAAATTTATGTATATAATATTACATTGAAGATAGGTCCATGCAACGAATGAAGATTTGGAAACATGCTACCATGGTTGAATGAGAAAGTCGAAGTGAAGTTAGTTTGCAATTGAACAAATATTGGCACATTGTTTGGCAACTTCATCATAGCCCTTTTTAATAGTGTTTTTTTCATTCCCTTAGTCTAGCATAAGCAGTGACATATAACAAAGTTATTTAAGTTATGTCTATATATATATATATATATATGTACACACTACAGGATTTAGCAAGGGTGCAATAAAAGATAATTCAAATTTAAATAATTTGGTTGTATATAGTGAACTTCAGTGACCAAATATTTGACAACAATGACTAAATATATATTTTATAATATGATATAGAAATTGCTTATTTTAAAGTGCATGCATGGAAAGGTCAGACAAAGGAGTTAATCATCTTTGATTAAGGCGGTCCCTTATGAAAACAATTTGGTGTTTGGACGGTGTTTTAGGTTGAAAAGGGCTCTCATCAACCCGGGGGAAGATAAAACAATCGCATAAACCTGTTAAGCGTTGGAAAAATAATGAACATAACGTAAGTGTAAAAAATTAACAAATTCTGCCAGTTGTGAAAGTACATCGACCTCTTGAGAGCCAAACATGACTACCAATTGTTACAGAGATGAGGGCCGATCCTAGATTGATTCTAAACCATAGAACCCAACCAACACGTTTGTACTGTTGTAGGAATAGGAAGAGGAAAGAAATGAAGGACCCGTTAATAACAATCGCAAACCACTAATCAACTAAATTTGAAGATGTCGGCTGCATTAAAAAATCGGTTCTTCATGGAACACAACCAAACAATTATGGCAGTTAATGGCAATCAATACCTACTAAATTTGAAGATGCATTCAGCTTTAAAAACTCAATGCTTCTTTGAATGCAACCAAACAATTTTTGATCGATATTATGAATGAAATAATACAGGTTTTTAGATAAACAAAAATTCAACTTCACAATAGCTAGAGAGTTGTAAAGGTGTTTTATTCATGGTTTACCTGAAACAGAGATGCAACTATGACTAATAAGAATGAGAAAGAAATTACCAAATAAAGCAATTTAGCGTAAATCTAAATATTCGAAATACAACCATTAAATTGATTATTGCATATAAACGCATATAAATTTTTGTACCCCCTATCGCACTTGCTGATATCATGTTCTTTAATTAGCTTGAGTTCATTTATACAAAACAGTATATAAAGGTAAGGTTAATCATTTAAAATCTTCAACTAAAGAAAAACGTTTAACTTTACCAAATACATATACCCCGATTAACTCAACAGATAAATACTTTAGAATATAGAAGTCACTTGTTTGAGACTATAAACGATCCTTTTACAAATTACAATTAGTGAAAGATAAATACTTTTACTCAATCAAATAATAAACTATTAACTCTCCTCTTTCTCTACTTCCTACGCAAACTACAAAGCCATCACAATTAGAGGTGTTCAAATGGTTACTGTGGTAATAACCAAACCAATTAAGCCTAAATTTTATTAACCATGGAATAAAATGTCTTAACGAAATCGTCCAAATTAACACGAAAACCAAATTAACCAAACCAAAGTTTAATTGGTTTGGTTAATCAGATAATCGGATTAACTAAATAACATAACATTACATGTAGGGCTGGCCATTCGGTTATCGGTTGTCGGTTAACCGGCTGGTTAAACCGATAACCAGCTGTTACCGGTTAACCGAATAACCAAAAAAAGGAGATGCGGGCGGTTGGCGGTAGCGAGCCTGGTAGTGCCGGTTAACCGGCTAACCGATGGTGATAACCGCCGGTTAGCCGGCTAACCGGCACAACTATCCTGCCTCAAGCAAAACGACGCCGCCGTGTCCAAGATTCTCCCTAGGGCCTCTACCCTAATTGACGCCGCACTGTAGACCCTCAATCCCTCAATCTCTTCTACGCAGCGAGAGGCCGAGATCCAAGAGTGGAGGCTGGAGCCGAGAGCCTCCTGCCGGCACTGCCTCCCGCCTGCTGCTGCTCCCTGCCGCTGCCGCTTGCCATCGCGAGACGACGAGAGTCGAGACCCTCCGCCATCGCCGCCGCCCGCCAACCATCCAATTCCTTCCGTCACCGCGAGCCCGCGACCTGCCTCCTCTGCTCGCCGGCGCCATTTACCAAACGGCGACCAGTGCTCCTCTGTTGTAGCCATTAAATTATGTAAGTTTATTTTGTCTTAGGAGCCAGAACTTCATTCTTCGAATTGATGATTAGAGTGAAGAATGGGAGAATGTAAAGGGAGGGGATCAAAATGATGGGCAGGAATCTATCTAATGCATAATTAAAGCAAAAGGGTTAGGGATTGCTTGCGGCTTTTGGTTTAGCATCTGTCTTTCTTTTTCCAATTTTGATTCCTCATCAAAGCTAGTGCCCAGCCGCGGTTACTTCGGTTAACCGAGCAACTAACCGGTAATCGACCGGTTGTTTGCCGGCTAACCGATAGTCACCTCTCCTGTCTCGGTTAACCGGTAACCGGCATTTCGGTTATCGGTTATAACCGAACTAACCGAAATGCCAGCCCTAATTACATGAAAACAAACATAAACTATCATTTTATATAAACAATAATAATAAGACTAACCATCCATAATTATCATCATCATTCGAGTTAATACATCATTCATCATCTTTGCACCTAATATAGGTAGCTTACAACAAACCCCTAAACATAAATACAAACCAATACCCCTGATTAGGAAGTTAAAGCTCTCCTACAAAACACTTAAACTATACATAGTTTGAGGTGGTTGTCATGGTATTGTACGTAATCCTAAAGTCTAGCCAAAATGTTTTAGTTTAGTAAATATAGGCAGACCCATTTAATTTTTGATCCATAATGTTTTGGTTTGTTGTGCACATGGAAATACAATAGGGAATCACGAAAGTTTGGTTTGGTTGGTTGCATGTAAGTATAGATAATTTTGTATATTAGGTGTATCATTAATTGGTTATTTGATTTCATTGGTTAGCAGTGTTTTTTTTTTACATCGGTTAGCAGTGTTGAAACCAAACCAAACCACCTAAACCAAATTAGCTAAATAATTTAACCAAACCAATTATCCAAATTAACCAAACCAAATTAAGCGAATGCTACCGGTTAATATGGCTACCATGGTAACCAATCCGTTTGAACATCCATAATCACAATCCACACATCTCTCATCCATACGAAATGCCTATCTTAATTTCTCGGTATTTCTCCAAAATTTAAAAAGAAAAAATCCAACAAAGCTTCTTCTACTTGCTTTGCTTCCAACCCTGCCGCTTCATCAATTTTCAACATCTGAATATCTTCCCTCTCCAAAGCCTCTGTTCACCGCCTCTTAACGACTACAACCAGCAACAACACCATAAGAGGAGAAAAGAAACAACAGCTCTATTCCTTGGGCAGATATCAAAGGATTCGAGGTTTTAAGCGCTCTATATAATTAAAATATGCAAATTATTTGCGCAGTGCCATAAATTCGCGGTGTGCTACTCCAGAGCAAGAGCCACTACAGGAAAATGTATTTTTAACCACTGTAACTTAACTACCGTATAATATACGGTGGTTAATACTGATTAATCAACTACCATATCAAGTACGGTAGTTAATAATACATTATTAACCATGGTATTTATATACGATGGTTTTTTAGTGACTAATACGGTAGTTATTAGTTCTATGAGGGCCCAAACTGAAAGGGGTGTAGATACAATAACAACACTATAAGTGTTGTTATAGTAACATCAGGGGGTAAAAAAGGAAAACCAACAAAAAATAATAAATTAAAATTAATTATAAATTTTCAATACCCAACTACCTTCTCTGCGTCTCTCGATCTCATTCTCCTTCCTTATCGCCGACTCCGTCTCCCGATCTCCTTCTCCTCCCTTATCGCCGACGGATTCTCTCTCGTATCTCTCCTCTGTCACCGGCGAGACCCTCTCCGACTGAGCCCATTGGCCACCGTCGCGCTGCCTTTCTCAAACAATCGCCCTCCGATTAACTTCTTATTACAGTTTCTAGCGATGGATCTGACCTCGACCTGGCAGATCCCCTTCCACCGAGAGCGAACGGGGCCGAGATTCGTGTCGGAGAAGCTCCGACGGTCGGGCCAGACGCTGGTATCGAAAATGCCGATGATGACATCAAAATCGTAGTCCGACTCGGACCAGGGCCTGCACTGGTTTCCTTCTTCCCGGTCACCACTCGCAGGAGACGCTCTGCTTCTTCCGGGTCGCCACTCGTAGGCAAAGGATTATAGAACTTTGTGTTTGTTCTAACAAAAGAGATCATTGCCAGGAGTGGGTCAAAAATTTTGGGTACATACCAGAAGAAGAAGAAGAAGAGCAACAAGTGAATTTGGTGCGAGGGTAGCGATGAAGTGCAAGGAGCTGTCGTTTACAAGAAAACTGACGACGAAGAGACGATTTCGGAGTGGTGCGAGATAGAGGAAGCGAAAGAGAAAGCATCGCCATTTGTTTCAAGAAGGTTTTAAGTGTGGTGAGAGCTTATCTATGAATCTGGTTGAGCGATCGCTTCCTGTCCATTGTTCTTCCAATTGGGTTGATTCGTTATCCACTCAGAAGATGCTACGACGCCAGGGACTGCGCGGGTTCCAGGACACATAGGCTGGCTTCTATTGTAGTTATTGAGCTGCAATTTTGAGTTTTTGGAGCATCAATCTTCTTTCTCCCCTTATTTGATTGAAATCTTTGAAAGTGTTAATGGGAAGACTACTGAAGGATTCCACCCTTTCGGCAACAACAGACCTCACTACTTGAGTAGACATTCATCTTTCCCTAATGAACTAGGAGCATTCGGTGGTGGTGATATATGTTCCTCACCCACCAGCAGTTCATGCAGGTTTGAGAGGTAGAGGAGTTACCAGGACGGGGTGTTCCAGAGAGGGTACAGTTCTTTCGGAGGGGGGCCGTATGACTCCATAAGGGACTACATCCCACAGGGTAATAGTTTGTTGCCTTACAGTAATGGGCAGATGATGGATGGCTTGGTTTCTAACCAGTGGCATATGTCGAGTACCGATCTTTCGTTAGGCGGGATGAGAAATTTAGAGGATGATGGCTCTTCGGCCTACTTCAGCCCCGACATTTCAAATTTAGCCAGTGGGGTGAATGGGTATACAGTGTATCGGCCGTCGAATGGACATTGAGAAGAGGGAAATGGTGTGGAGAAGCGGAAGTACCACAACCAGATTTAAGATTCTGGGGTTGGTAATTACACCGCTTGTAATAATGTTAGAGGGTCCTTAGATTGGAGTGATGGATGGATGAGGACAAAGCACATCAAAAGTATTGTAATGCACACTATAAATCTTATAAAACATACCACAAATATCACAAAAGCATACCAGAAACCTGTTAATGCATACTATAAATTGCCTAAAATATACTAGAAACAACACAAAGCAAACAACAACTATTTCTTAAACACACCAAAAACCTCCTAATGCAAACCACAAAATGCGATAAAACAAACCAGAAACCTCCTAATGCATACTACAAATCCCCTAAAACAAACCACAAACCTCACAAAGCAAACCAAAAATTTTGCGAAAGCACACCAGATACCTCATAATGCAAACCACAAACACGTTACAGCAAACCACAAAAAAGCAAACCATAAACGTCCTAATGCAGACCACAAATATATTAAAACAAACCAGAAACCCCGCAAAGCAAACCACAAAAGTATCGAAAATACACCAGAAACTTCTTAATGCAAACCAGAAACCTCCTAATGCATACCACAAATCCCCTAAAACAAACCAGAAACCCCACAATGCAAACCACAACATTTGCGAAAGCACACCAGAAACCTCCTAATACAAACCACAAACACGGTAAAGCAAACCACAAAAACAAACCAGAAACGTCCTGATGCATACCACAAATCTATTAAAACAAACTAGAAACCCCGCAAAGCAAACCACAAAATTTTTTAAAGCACACCAGAAACTTCTTAATGCAAACCACAAACGCGATAAAGCAAACCACAAAAGGCATAAAAAATATGAGAAACCAAACCATAAATCTCACAATGAAGACCATACATCCGGTGGTCGTTGACCGAACCCATGGGTACCCTACCCGACCTAACACGGTCAACGCGGGTAAAACCCATGTTGATGAATTTTGGGTCGGGTTTGGGTTTAAATCCACTACACTATTCACGGGTTGAGTTTGGGTTTAGGTATACACGCCCCATGGGTACCCGCCTGCACCTATATAATTAATTTTTCCGGTATATTTAATATTCTAAGCAATATATCTTCCTTAAACAACTAATCTTTTTTAGGTTTGTGGAAACATGTCTAATTCGTTCTTTATAATTGTGTAGAATGAAGTTGATATTATGGAGTAGAGAGCATGGTAAAGGAAACCGTACCGGACATCATACCGGATTCCTTTCTGGTATGGTATTTTGTGGTACGACCGTGGTTCAACCGTTTTGTACCGGTAAATACCGTTTTTCACTATTGATAGAGAAATGAAATGCGATAGTATAAAAAATATAATCCATCAAAAAAAGAACCAAATAGAGCATTATACAACCACGGTGACCCATTTTCAACATAGAAAAATAGCAAAATAATATTCTTTTTAATTATTTTCCACATATTGGACGAGAATACGGAGAAATGAAGCTGAATCATAGACCAGGAAACCGGATCATACCGGCCGGTTCAACCGATTCAACCGGTCAAACCGGAAAAACCGGCCGGCACGGTAAAATCAGCACAATCAGCCCACCGTACCGCTTTTGGTCCAATTTCTAGTTGAACCGGCCGGTACGATCCGGTTTCCTGGTCTATGGTAGAGAGTGAAGAAGTTTACTTTCTCTTTATAGATGTTTATCCTTAATTTTGAACAATTTGTATTGATAGTTTGCGGTTTGCTTGTATGCTCTAGATTTGTGTTTTTTGTATAAATAATTTGTATGAGAAAATTTATGTAAGAATTTTATGACAAAAATCCACGAGTACCGATGAACCCGTGGATACCCAGCGGGTTTTATCCCGAATTTTTTTGTCTAATAAACCCATGGGATTCCCGCCACATTTTTTACCTTATTTTCTGTATAGTGATATGAAAAAGACCATGTCCCTTTTCCCCTCATGAAAAACATCTGACCGGGGGCTCTTCTATTCCTACTGATCGTGGTCGTATATCTTGGTCTTATCTGGTCAGGTCCCTCCCCGTTGAAGAAGCTTTGCCCTCAAAGCTTGTGTGTTCCTGCAAAAGAGATCATCACCTAAACTTCCCACCTGAATTCTTCTCAGCGCAGTCAGCATGTGTCTTCAAGCCATAAAATGGGTTCCACTTCCGTCCTTTGGTTGCTAGCCACATGCATACCTTTCTCCCTTACCACAATTCAGCTCCATCTATCATTGATCTTCTCGAACTTCAGGAACGAGTATGAAACGTAATATCTCATTTTTCTTTGTCAGCTGGAGCTTCATGGAAGATCACTCTACGATTGACTCCAAGAAACTTACCTATTAGAGGGGCTTTTGTAGTGATGTGCTGATCGACATCATCATCATCATAAATCGATTCTCGTCCCCATTGACTTCTCTTCACCCCTCCTCCAATAAAAAGTATTATCCATCCTACAGAACCAGAGTTTTCTTATTGGGGCACTAATTTGCTTAGTGACCACATTCTAGACATCTGAAGCATTGGATGTTTGCAGCTGATCCTTACCGTCTGGCTTGAATGATTGGAAAAGTGTTTCTATCCATTGGGTTGACTCCTTTTGGCCTGAAATGATTCATAGTGGTCTCACCCATGTTCTCTGCAACCGGTTTAGTCAAAGGCAAATACCTTCTTCCAGAGCTGACCTTGACTCAACTCTAACTACAACATCCCCAATCGACATCCAAACATAACTGACGACCGAGTGTAGCATAGGATAATCAAGCAATAAAACTTATCGAACCATGGGAATTTAGGCTTACCTTACTTTGGGTTAGGTTTCGATATCTAGCCAACCTAGAATAGTGATTAAGAAACTAATCTAACTACACTAACCTAACCATTACCCTAGCTAATTACAAGTTGTGGAGCTCTCTTAGGTTTTAATCCCCCTAGTTCCATCATTTGGATCGATGTTAAGTATTATCCTAGCTCGATCGACTCACTACCCTACCATTATGAGATCGATTCACTCGGGATTGCCCCGGAGCGGCGAAGTGATGGATGGGTAGGTGCTCTATTCAACCTAGGGTTTTATATATTGTTAGGAGGTAGATTGAATCAATTCTCTCGGAGATTACCCAGACAACATATGATAGGAGTGACCCAAAGACGCCAATAATGGGCTCTAAGGGGATTTTCTCCCTCCTAGGTCAAAATCTCAATTGACATGTAGAATTCATGCAATTCATGAAAACCATCTATCAATTAGATAATAAACACAATCAAACATAAGATTTGTCCCATACATAAACTTCAAACCAAAATCTAAATCTATTGTTCATCAACCTAAGAGAAAGAGGTCTAGTTCATAGAGAGAGAAGGGATATCACAAAAATAGCTCATGATCTCCATCTTCTAGGCTTGATTCCTTGTCTCCAAGAACAACCCAAGCCTCCAAGATCTCTCAAAAACTCCCTCTTTCTCTCTAGAACTCCTCTTTTTGTGTTTTGGGTTGAAACCCTAGAGAGAGAACCAACTTCTCCTCCAAAAACCAACTTCATTTTCTCTCTCCTCAATGATGTCTTTTTATACAGCATAACATTCAAAGTTACGGTCCGGATGTCATGGTCGTGACTTTTGCAGGTCGGCCGTGATCTCGGACAAAAACATAATCGTTTTGGTCCAATGTCACGGCCTCTTCACAATTGTCACGGTCTGGTGACTGTGAAAACTTTTAGGCCCGCGAGATGTGTAAACTCTTCTGATTCTTGCAAATGTCACGCCCTGGGCTCATTTGTCACGGCCCAGAGACCATGACAATTACCCCCAGCTCGTGGCTTTAGCCTTTTCTTCACTTTTTAGAACTTTTCGACCTCCAATCGTCCCGAAACTCGTCCATGACCTTCCCACACATACTAGGACCTGAAATGTAACAAAAAAGCACAAACTAGTGTAAAATAGGTCTAGGGATGATGATTTACCAAGTCAAACTATCAAGAAATGAGGGGTAAAATAAGTGTAATTAGGCCCGAATTAGACCTTCAGTTGCTTTTCCACCTTAATGGCTAGGTGAACATCACTTCCTCCAGCTCCACAAACTGATGAAGCTCAACTTCGTGTCTAATTTCCCGATTGAGGAGATGTAGAAATCGAGAAATTGTAGCTTCTTTATCTTCTCTCACGTCGGTCCCCATCAAGAGTAGTTCAAGATCCCGAAAATACCTCTCAACAGATCGTGCTCCTTGTCGAATCCACTGCAACGAATCAAAGAGTTTCTCTTTGATAGTACCCTGACATGAATATCTCACTAATGAGCCCTCTCAATTCAGCCCAGGTTGTCACATTCGGCTGCAGATTCCTTCTTCTCATAAGATGTACCTTCTCCCACCATATAGCTGCATAATCAGTGAATTCATATGTGGCTAGTGATAACTTTAGTTGCTCGCTATAATTGTCGCTTGGAAGAACAAGGTGATCTTCCTCTCGCAATCCAGGTATGTAGAAGCATTGATAGACCCTTGAAACAAAGGAATTGAAAGCTTGATCCCTCATAAGTCAGCAACGGTACCTTCGTGTCCTATTTTTTGGTGGTCTTCCACCGTAATCACAAAGTTCGATTAGGCCATGTTGTGATCAACCTCCGCTCCAAGTTGTGAAATCTTTCACCTAGGTCTTGATATGTTCCAGTTGGAACGCCTGCTGTTGATTTCCCTCCGGAATCAGGTGGAGTCCTGCTGGAACTTTTGGTGGGTTTGAGTTGATTGTCGGTAGCGAGAGAGCATCCACCCACTTGTTGTTATGGTTGAACTGAACTTTGAAGGTTGCGTTCCATTGTGCCATGATGGTCTACAACAATTCTGAAACATTAATCTGCTGCTCCGCCATTGTTTGTTCTTCGAATGAGATTTCTTTTTATGACAAAGAATCATCATATGCTATGCGGTTTGCTATGGGGTCTTTAGATCTCGTACGAGAAACAAGAGGCCCTCTTGACTTCGTTGTCCCCACTGTATTGAACCAGACTCTGATTCCACCTGATACAACTCATACGAGCATAGAACCGGTGCCAATAGTTATCAAAGTCGCACAGCCAAGAATAGGGATTAGGGTTAAGGATAAAACGGAATTGAAGTACAATCTTGATACTACCTTATATACTATCAATATTATAGAGCAAACTACAAGTGAAAATGGTTTGGGAGATAAACTATTATCTAAAAGCAAAACAAAATAAACTAATTAAAGTTGTCATGAGAAATTCAATGGAGAAAGCTTTGGGACTCACTATCTATCATATCCAAATTAATTCACATATTCTAATAAGTTTAATCCAATTCTATACAGCTAGGATATCTCTACTGTGCTAGTTATCCCTGTCGGGAATTACTACGTACTAAACAATTAAATCAAATCCTACTGCCGTAGCTCAACGAATTAACTATTTAGTCTAAAGACTGATATCCCTTTCAAAACCTCATAGCACTTTATTTAATCCACTATCGCTTCGATAAGTTACTATGTCACATGAAATATGTTCAGTTAATAGGGTTTCACTGTCGCTAATAACCTAATTAATTACAAGTCAATGTATTGGTGACTAGTCAACACAAAGCATTAGGCAATTCCATGCAATAGAGATAGGAAGAAAAGATATATGAATCAATTCATCAAGTCTAAAAATAGCTACATACTATGATGTTTCCCCCCAGAAATTGGGGTTTAGTTCATGACGAAAATAAAATACACATTCATATTTATAATCATCATCGTATTAAATAAAACTAAAACAAAAATACTGAGATTATCAGATGTAATCTCAGCAACAATTCCTTCTCGCTCCAATTGTCGATCGCCACTCTCTGCTCGTCCCCTGCTCGTTAGTCGTCTCTAAGCTTCTCTCTTAGCGCTGCTGCCTACTGTTCTCAGCTCCCTGAAAGAAGTTTTGGTCCCAAAGAATCCCTTCTGTCCAATTAATTCCCCCAAAAGAACTCATTCCATCCACATTAATTTAAGACTTTTGTTCCAACCCACCAAGCCCCAAAGTTTGCTCCGGTCTAATTAACTCCTAATGGTTGCTCTACATTTTGTTAGGCAAAGGAAACTCGTTGAAGCCGGTTTAGTTTGGGATTGACCATTGGTCGGACCACTTATGGTATTTCACTTGTGCATCAATCGTTTCTTGTTACTCCACCTAAAATATATCAACATACTAACACGTGGTGGTATGGGTTGATAACCATTACATAGTCAATTGGACCTAAAACAATCATTATATATATGTCTGAAACATATCATAAAATCATCACATTCAACACACAAAATCAACATGTTTCCGAAAATTATCAAATCTCACACCTTAAGAAGGCGCTAGAAGCTCGACCACGCTCAAAGGGAATATTCTAATGATACAAAACACAATTCACAAGCTAAAAGCTCAATGAACCAAGAATAAACTCAATAATCTCCAAAGTCTGCCAAAAACTCGGATCTAAGCCTTTAAATAGGCCAAAGAAACAAAAACTAATAAAAAATCCGAAAATGAAAAGAATCCAAACACAAAATATAATTTGAGGCCCGATCCCCTATCTCGCACCTTCAGATCCCCGATCGGGGATTAATAGTCACCTGACCAAGGACTCTTTTGTTCCTATTCCCCGTTCACTTCCTACCGATCCCCGGTTGGGGATCTTGATCTTTTCTGGCCGAGGAAATCACATCAGATGGCAACGCAGAAGAATCATCGCCAACATTGGTGGGGAGAGGTCGAAGGAAGAAGGAGAATGAAAAAGGAAGATGAATATAAATTGAAGACAAAAAGCAAGATGGGGAATGAAGAAGAAAGAAGAGAGTTGAAGGAAGGGTTAGTTTTGGAAATAGAAAATGTAACATGTAGAATTTTAAAATATTTTAAGGAGGGTCAACTATTTTGAAAACTATATATGTTGGTTTTTAAAATCCCTATTGTCCACAATCTCTAATCTTTAAGGCGTCTCACGTCAAACGTGTTACTTTGTTAAAATTTCACATTTTATGGGATTGTGGCAAAATCCTGCATAGAAATCCATCATCCGAACTAGGGGTATTGAAAAAGAGTGGTTACCGTGATAACCATTTGAACTAGTAGTATTTATATAATTTGGTTTAATTAAATTTTTAGCTTATTTGGTTTGGTTTGGTTTCAGTTCAGACACTCCTAGTCAATTAAGCAATTAGCCACATATATCTAATATATTATATCCAATACTTAATACTTTGCATTACCATTCAAGACTCAAGTGCTCCTCCTTGTAGGACCCATCAAAATAATAAAACTCGTTATTGTATCTTACTATATTTGTTCCGGTGGAGTGTAGATAACAAAATATGAGCACCTAATTTAGATAAAAGATCTTACATTATGTTGGACGAAAAATGCAAGTGAAGGATTTTTTAGCCTCCGATAATTTCTAAGAGACTAAGACAATTCACACAATACTCAATTCATCAATCTCACACCATTTACATTTATTTTTATTAGGCGGTAACTTTTAATGACTATAAGATAATTATATTAGGTGCATGTATTTTATCAAGGTTTAACTATATGTTAATTTTTATATTTTATTCATTATATAAATTACGAACTGGTGAATTATATGAAGATTTTTTTCTTACGTATTTATAATGTTATGTTATATTGGTTAATTCGATTAATCACTTAACTAAACTGATTAAACTTTAATTTATTTGATTTGAATTTTGTGTTATTTTGATTGATTTTATTATGATATTATATTCTATAATTAATAAAATTTAGACTTAATGGTAATTAACCTAATAAATCATTTGAATACCCCTATATTCCAAACGACACAAAAATTGAACATAGCCTTATCGGGCCAGGGTCCTGGCCCACTCCGTCAATGAGGATATGCTTATGTGACTTTCCATTCTATGGGTGGGCTTCAAACCCGTGCGCTCTATTTTGGAATTATGGTAGCATCCCCATTACCCTTTTCAGCATATTCCTTGGCACAAAATCGGTGAATTCCGTAGACGGGATATACTCTACTTTTGTTGCGAGGTTTGTTGATTTAGATCCTCTTATTTTAACTGGACCGGAGGTTGAACCGGAAAAGTTAGTAGTTTAGAGGTTTAGTAGTTAACTGTTACAAATTCATTGGTGAATCGTTGATAGAATCTTTCAGGATATATAACATATAAGACTTGTATACTACAATAATTTAATAATGAAGTTATCATTGACCACAAACAATTTCAAATTCATATAATCACCAAAATATCTCATAAATCATTCAAAGCATCTCACAGAGAAAATTTAATTTCTAATTCAAATTAAAAATTATGGTGCCAGTCGGTAGTGGACAATGTAAATTTGACAACAAGGTTGAAAAATGTGAAGAGGAAGCATATATAAAATTAATAATAATGGTTTGATGGTTTTAGTTTATATTAAAGTATTTTTAATGTCTTTTTTATTAAAATAATGAACCAATGGACCAGTTAAATCTTGGTTGTTCATCTGGTTTTATGTTGAACCGTGAAACAGTGTTTGGTCCATCAATAACCGTCCAAGCAATGAACCGGACCGCTATCATAACTAGTTTGGTGGTTCTATTGGCCCGACCGTTGATCCGGTTCGGTTCTTAGAACAATGTTCAGACCACAGTTCATCCTTCAATGCCTCCCCAGTCCAGTCCTCACCATGATCCATGAAACCGTACCGTATCGAAGGTTCAACCACAAAATATCAGTATCGAAGGCTAAATCGGTTGGCGGTATTTAATGGTCTAACTATTGAACTACGGTTAAACCAGAAGTTTATTGTAAAATATCATATCATTAACTTTTCCGGTACAACGGTTTCCATAAAGGGAGGAGTTACGGTGCTAATTGTACAATAGTTAGCACCGTCCTAACCAAGGGAAAAACTACTACTAGTTTGAATTAGTAGTGATTTAGCTTAGATGTTGTATTGATTTTATAATAATCCGTAGTGATTTCGTTATTTTTAGTAGCGTTTTTTGCTAGTTATCACGGTGCTTACCCTATAATCCCATCCCTTTCCATAAACCATGGTTCCCACACCGTAAAAGGGATGGATATTCACGATGAAATTCTTGGTGAAAAAATGGTAGGCTACATTAATTAATTGATAATAACGTTCCATAGAGTCGAAGGCTCGGCCCAGCTTTTACGAAAACTGTGGGCTTTGGCTTGGGAAATTCTGGTCTTTGGTAGCATCGCCGAGTTGAAACTCTTCCTCTGAATTAACTTAATTTATTTTTATGATTTAGCTGTCTAGCTATAAAAGGCGACGTTGGTTGGATTATATGAAGAAAAAGTTAAGACTTGAAGGCTACTCACCTCCCTCTCCCTGCGCTGCACCAGTTCCCGTCCGCCTGCCCTTCAACTCACTCGCCCACTGCCTTGGCCTTTACCTACCGCCGCTTTCTGCTTTGCAATCAACTAGAAGAAGCAGCCATGGATTCCGATTTCGGCATTCCCAGAGAACTATCACCACTTCAGCAACTCCGATCTCAGTATCAGCCGGAGCTCCCTCCCTGCCTTCAGGTGCTTTCCTCCTCCTCCTCATCACCTCTCCATTTGTCAGTCTTAGTCGCAAGAACAGCGAGTCGTCTGTTTCGGTACAGTCTATCCTGAGGCCCTTTTTGGTCTCCCTGATTCATCGTAATTTTCTTTCCTGCTAGTCCTATCTGCCTTCTTCCTTCGATACAAACGATGTTAGCTCAGATCAGTCTTTCCTGAGGATAGATCTGCTTAGAGCAACGAAAACCGGAGATTGAGGAAAGGTTAGGTGGATTTGGGACAAGCAGATCTCGTCACCTGTTTTTTTACGATTTTTGACCCGTGGATGTGGAAATTGAGTGGACTCTCTCGGTTTGTTTCTGTATATGTAATCATATCCATGGAAAGGATTAGGACTGCTTATTACGATTGGAATCAGAGAAGACTGTTTGTTTTCAGTTCCTGTTCTTAATTGCTTCGGCCATGCCTTGTCACAGGGAACCACTGTGAGGGTGGAATTTGGAGATGGTACCACAGCAGCTGATCCAGCTGGGGCCCACACCATAAGCCGGTTCTTCCCACACACCTACGGCCAGCCTTTAGCTCACTTCCTTCGGGCAACTGCACAAGTTCCTGATGCGCATATCATCACTGAACATCCACCTTACAAGTAATTATTATTTTGTGCCTTCGTCCTTCATCAAACTTGGTTTCTGTTTCATTCTCTGCAATCTTGTTGAAGTCTTACATATGTTGCCTGCAGGGTCGGACTAGTCTTCTGTGGAAGGCAGTCCCCGGGTGGACATAACGTCATATGGGGTCTTCACAATGCTCTCAAGACTCATAATCCCAAGAGTGTATTGCTCGGATTTCTGGGTAACCATTCGTCTTCCTTACTGTGGTTTTTTTTTTTTTTTTTATGGTTGGTGATGTTTGTTTGCCCACGTCACTATTTTCAAAGTAGTGATTCCGTGAAAGTTGCAAAAGCCTGCAACAAAGTTGTAATCTTAGATACGCTGCAATTGATATGTATGACAATATTCTGTTGACAGGTGGATCCGAGGGATTGTTTGCACAAAAAACTCTTGAAATCACAGACGACGTTCTCACTACCTACAAAAATCAAGGTACCTAATAGAATCATATAACGAATATTTTGCCATTGTTTATTCTCATATACCTATCCAGTTTGAGTAATTCATACCATGATGCACTCTGCAAGGTGGTTATGATTTGCTGGGAAGGACCAAAGATCAAATACGAACAACTGAACAAGTTAATGCTGCATTGGCTGCCTGCACAGACCTTAAGTTGAATGCCCTTGTTATCATTGGAGGTAGGTTTAGCGTTAAGGTCACATCAGCTAAACATGATAAACTTTGAAGTGTAACTAACCATACCTGCTTGGCATTCCGAAGGGGTTACATCAAATACGGATGCTGCTCAACTTGCTGAGACATTTGCTGCTGCGGGGTGCCCAACCAAGGTACTTATCTACGCATTTGAATACTGAATTTGCACCTACTGGTAGCTGTTCTATTATTTGGATGTTCATTTAGAGCTGTTCCAGTTTTGCCAGTTACTTATGCTGGTAAGTTACGTCTTTCTAAAGACTTCAATTATTGAGGTGTTTGCAATTTGCAGGTGGTTGGTGTCCCTGTTACTTTGAATGGAGATCTCAAGAATCAATTTGTGGAAGCTAATGTTGGATTTGATACAATTTGCAAGGTTTGGTTACTTCGATGCTTCATGTTCTACTTCTTTTGAAACTACTCTTCCATGTTCTGCTAAAGAGGGAAACTCTGGTTCTCAGACTTCTCTCTTTATGACCATTTTCTGTATGTTGATCCAAACACAACTTAGGAGAATGTGCAATCTCATTTATTTTCCTTGTGCAGGTAAATTCCCAGCTGATCAGCAATATGTGTACTGACGCTCTTTCTGCTGAGAAGGTATATCCATAATTTTCTTATTAAGTACTCCAATGGGAATCGATAAATGAAGCCTCGCATATTGCCTTTACCCTCAGTCCTGGCAAAAGTTTAATCTGTTGTCTCCTCTGCAGTACTATTATTTTATTCGGCTAATGGGTCGTAAAGCTTCTCATGTTGCCTTGGAGTGCACTCTTCAATCTCATCCCAATATGGTTAGGATTTGTTGATTCACTAGTTTCTTGGTTTCTTGTATTGTTATACTTTTTTTTTTTTGTAGTGCAGTGCCGTACTGCCGTTCATGTCTGTTCATCTCACTTCTCTTTTCAGGTCATTCTTGGTGAAGAGGTAGCAGCATCAAAACTTACTCTTTTTGACATCAGTAAGCAGATTTGTGATGCAGTCCAAGCCAGAGTAGAACAAGGTTTTGAACAATTTTTGAAACCCTCTCAGAGCTCTCTAAACTCATCTTCTTTTCTTTATGTAATCTGATCCAACATGATTGCACCAGATAAAAACCACGGTGTTATTCTGCTACCTGAGGGTCTAATTGAAAGCATTCCCGAGGTGTATGCACTACTGAAGGTACCTCACACTTATAACAAAATGAGGAATTGTTTCTGTGTTATGCAGGAGAATGTCTTTACTTTAGGTTTCTGGAATTGTTTATCGTTTCACTTCTTACTCATAAACACAATTGTTTCCAAATGAATATGGTTACTCACTTTCAGATGTGGTTTTTTGCAGGAAATACATGGTCTACTCAGGCAGGGGATTACTGCTGATAAAATTTCATCTCAACTTTCACCGTGGGCATCTGCTCTGTTTGAGTTTTTGCCAATATTTATCAAGAAGCAGGTGTGGATCCCTCTGAAAGATTTGGCATGGTTCACTGAATCAATGTGTGTGAAAATGAATCTAAAACTTTATTTTAACTGCGCAGCTGCTTCTTCACCCTGAATCTGATGACTCTGCTCAGCTGTCCCAGGTACTAAGTTTGAGGTTTTCGCTTATAGTATACTACAATATTATATATTTCTCAATTTTCAAACATTATGTTTTTCTCAGATTGAGACAGAGAAACTCTTGGCACATCTTGTGGAGGTAGAAATGAACAAGCGCCAGGTATGCTGTTGGCTCAGCTTAATTAGTAATTAATTGTTGCATGATGACTCATACTATTACTGAAGTGAAACTCAGATGTATCATTATCCATTTTATCCCAGTGATATTGGGAATGTAGGCCATGACTCTTCTTTTTCATTGTGCTTTGCAGTTATTGAACAATTCGTTTTAACTTTTTATGACATTTCTTTCCTTTGCAGAAAGAAGGCACATACAAGGGGAAGAAATTCAATGCCATCTGCCACTTTTTTGGTTATCAGGCTCGTGGATCTTTACCATCGAAGTTTGACTGTGACTATGCCTATGTACGACAAATGGGTTGATCATGTTCCTAAGTTTGTACAGTTAATAATTCACTCAGTTATTCATGTAAAACTGTCTTTTTGCAGGTTCTTGGCCATATCTGCTACCATATTCTTGCTGCTGGTCTAAATGGTTACATGGCAACTGTTACTAACCTTAAGAACCCTGTGAATAAATGGCGTTGTGCTGCTGCCCCAATCACAGTATAAATTTCTACTTTCATCTTACTTGCTATCAGATTTTTGCTTGAAGCTGGCAACACCACAAGACTTGTATTTATTATGCTTGTGGTGGTATATCATACTAACTTCCATGAGCTGTGAAATTTTAGGCAATGTTGACAGTGAATCGATGGGCTCAAAGTCCCGGTGCACCTTCAATTGGAAAACCTGCTATTCATCCAGCTACTGTTGACTTGAATGGCAAGGCATATGGGTGAGTGTTTCCAACTAAATCTCTTCACCCCCCTTGTTTCTGTATTAAGCTGAAGACCTGGAAATAAGGATTATAACTTGGCTTCCACATCCGTGTTGGTTACAGGTTGTTGAGACAAAATGCAGTGAGATTTTTGTTGGATGATCTGTACAGAAACCCGGGACCGCTACAGTTTGACGGTCCAGGGGCAGATGCCAAAGCTGTGACTCTGTGCGTTGAAGACCAAGATTACATGGGCAGAATCAAGGCACTGCAGGAATACTTGGATAAGGTGGGTTTGCTTAGATCACCCTTGTCTCCCAGTTTCTGTTCTGTCATTTTGTTTCCTAGTGCTCCTTTGTGTAAAGTCATGTGGAAGCGATAATCAACAGGTCATTGCAAAACCTGGTAATGAATGCTACTGAGTCAGAATAGATCACACCTTCTGCCCCATTAGTCAAGTGATGGTTAGCTAATCGAGTAGGAGTCGCTTGTGGTCATTATGTATTTAGAGGTTTTAGAATTGACATATTTTCTGTTGGTATCTATATTTTACAGGTTCGTACCATAGTGAAGCCAGGTTGTTCGCCTGAAGTTCTGAAGGCTGCTTTGAGTGTAATGGCTTCAGTGACAGAGGTTCTTACCACCATGTCATCAACTCCATCTAATGGCCTCATCACGTTGTAGAGAGACTGTCCTTCCTTGCGGTTCTGTTATGTAGTTCTCTTTTTCTGCATTTGGGGTTGGAGTTTTGGAATTGACTGACTGAATGAACACTTTTTTTTTTATCTTTTCGTTTTTGAGAGATACAGAAACTTGTTTTTAATGTATTTAGATGATGCTAATGATGGATGATAAATGCAGCAGCTCCAGTCAAGATGAGTTGCGTTTTAATTCGATGTCTTGCCTTTGTGGGTCTAAAAGGAAATGAAGCTCTTGTTATGGTTGTTTATCTTAGCATTCAGATTCTGCATACTTGAAATGGTGATTAGGGTGAGTGTCTAGAAGGCAAAAAAGAGATGATAGACGTATTAATAATTTAATTGGGACAATGCTTGTACTATATAGTTCACTAATGTATGAATTTATAAAGGTCTATATATATCTACTCTACACATACAACATAATAATGATTGAAAAATTGAAGTAATGGAAGTCTAATATGTATCTATCCCCTCATCTTGCTTTCGTTTTTCTCTGGTTTCTTCCTCTGGTCCTACTCAGTGAAGGGGATGGCGTAAAAAAATATAGGGTATGATACGGTATAATATTGTTTTTTTGGCTACATTACTATTATCATCATCGTCGTTGTCATCGCGATCAAGAAGAGCTGACGAGCCACATGAAGCAGGTGGACCAAAGAGTGAGGGAGACAGAAGCCAAGGCATAAGTCCAGAGCATGATGACCGAACACTCCGACTCCCCTTCTCCAAACAACTGGGTGATGATGCCGATGTTCATAGCAGGCGGGACGGTGAACTGAAGCAGGAGAATGAACTGATAGAGTGGATCGTCTGCCGGGATGAAACCCAGACGCAGCGCCCCTTTCACCACCACGATACCGACCAGAGGAAGCGCAACGTATCTAGCCAGTACGATCCCTATGATCACCGTCGTCTTCACGCTCGACCCTTTCAAACCTGCAACAACAAAGAAGAAGAAGAAATTTCCTAATCAAATCTACACTTACATATTATGTGTCTTATGTCCTGTATATAGTCAGTCCTGTTCATGTAACAAGGCAGGTTGCATAAATGATGATGATGAATACCTCTGAGTAGATTAGCTCCTACAAGCAGAGTCAGAGTTGGGATGGCTGCCTGTCTGCACAAACCCAAAACCAAAAATGGCATTAATATGTTAATAAAATAGTACCATATGATGATCAAAGCCGTTTGTTCATTATGATAATGACATTTAGTGGTTGTGAGTTGGTGGCTTTTACCCTAATAGGACACCGGAGTCTTGAATAACACGAAGAGGTGCTTGGTCTCCCACCAGCAGGTTCTTTATTGGTGTGGTCAAACCAATCGCAAATCCGATAATCTGCATATAGAATGTATTACAAACCAAAGAAAGCTTAAATCATCATCGTCATCTCCAATTTAATAGGTGTTAATTCAGTAGTCAGTGAGTGTTACTGTTACTTACCACACCAATCGTGGAAGGTGCAAAGATGGTCTTCCAGTTGACACTTCCTAGCGTTCTGGCCAGCACTTGCTTGACCCTCTGAGGGAAGCTGCTGCTACTCTCACCACCTGCTGCATCCATCTGTTTGTGTAGTAAGCAAATCAATTGACAGATAACATGAGATGATTACTTATCATGTGCACAAGAAGGTCGATTGATTCGGTTAATCAGGCAAATTTAAGCCCAAGTGTTACCTTATCAAGGTTCGAGGTAGATGAATGTAGAAGAAGCGGGTGCTCGAGCGAGCTTCCAACAGTTCCAGTTGTAGTTGTAGTGGTGATACTGACTGTAAGCTTCTCTGTGTCATGATCACCCCCTCCTCCTCCTGTTACTTGTACTGGGTTCGACGCCCTCATAATACTGTACACATAAGTCCAAAGATACACTGCTCCCAACTGCAATCATAACAATACATGTTCATACATTACCTACATCGGTTCATCATCATCATGGTATATATACAAACAAACATGTTTGATATAGCATAAACTTACAGCCATGGATACAGAGGAGTAGGCCAAACCGTAGGACTGGCAGACTTCAGGGGAGCCAAAGGGGCTGGCTTTCTCCTTACAAATGGCGGGTATCATGACCATAAACATGTTGCCCAAGTTCCCCGCCGCGGTGCAGCCAACGATGAGCCCCTTCAGCTGTTTAGGCGGTCGGGCAAGCTGTATCACCATCCAACCCAGAACCGAACCCACCACGAAGGTGATGAGCACATTGACCGGCATGAACCAGAGCTTCACCATTTGTTGAAACGTTATGGTCTGGGACAGGCTCGCCACCATGAGCGCCGGGTTGAACACATAGAACACCACCTGCCAAATCAATCAATGCAGACGTCACATCTAAGTTGCTAAACATAAGAAGCTACTGTGATTCATTAATGGGTCGGGTAAGTTAGTTACATTGTTGACGTGTTTTCTTGCTTCGGCGCCCAGGACATCAACTTTCTCGAGGGCGAGGAAGGTGCCTAGTGCAGTGATGACGAGAACCTTGATGACCGGAATGGACGACGCGATGAACAGATCCAATACCGCCATCTCTGTCTATACAATGCAAATCAATCTCCTAAGAATTGGGCTGCAGCAGAAGGATGTTCAAAATCAAAGATATATATATATATATAGCAGAAAATGGGAACACAAGTAGAAGGACATCGAGGGAGTCACACCACCATTAATGAGTAGACCACCACAAATTAAGCAATGAATCAACCAACCAACCAACCAACTATGTACCTACTTAAACAAGCAATCAAACGGTCCAGTAATTAAAAGCGATTGCCACATAAACCATTTCACCTCAACGATGATCCATAATCACCATTTGGTCCCCCAAACCCCACATCCTCCCTTCTTCTTCAACTACTCTTTTCTGTCTATAATTAAGGCTTGAATTGAAATGCTGCTGTCTTCCAACTTGTATGCACGCCATGCATAGTGATTAATGTACAAGTCGTTGTTTTTGGTATAATTTTGTGGTAGCAAGTGATTGCGTGACCATTCAAGTAAGAAAAAATTCCTTCAACTTTTCATGTCTTTGTAATTCTCGAACCATCTGTGTATTTGTCTGGATGTCGAATCGAGTGGGTTGGATGGTTCGTCTGGTTTAATTCAACTCCGTCATCATCGGTGTCTTATTATATTATTATATATTATTTTATTGTACTTTTACATATATTTTATTAATTAAATAGGCAAAAGGAAACAAAAACAGAATGTATGGACAAGCAAAACAACAAGCAGCTGGGGAAACCGAAACAAACGGAGAAAAGGGACAAATATCGCTTTCTACTACCCAAACAGAAAAACGAAGAAGAAGCGGAAATGAAATGAATTACGTACCCGGGCGATGGAACTAGCGAGGAAATAATGGAGCTAGCCGGAGCAACGGGCCGAGCGCAGAAATAAAGTATATCGGCGGCGCCGGCCTCGCCGGGAATTGAGTTTCTCCTCGATTCGACGGCGTCCCCCTCGATTTCCTAATTGATTCACCGGAGGAGGAGGAGGAGGACGACGACGATGGTATTAATTGCGGAAAACAGATTCTGCAGCGGACGGAGGAATCTGAGTGGCGGCCGGATATATCAATTATGTAAGCAGTGGAAAGAAGAAGAAGAAGAAGAAGAATGAGGCGTTAGCCAGAACGGAGGGATGAAAGAAAAAGCTGCTGTAATTGCTGGTGCAGATAAGATGGGAAGGGGAATTTGTTGTTGGAGGGATTTTATATTGAGATGGTGTGCAAGCAAATCACATTCACAAGTTGGCGCAGGCAAATCTTGGGATTTTGGTCGCTACCCACAGCCGCCCCCACAACACTACAAAAACCCTCCCGACGACGACGATGATGACGAATTGTTGATTTCCTCCTGCTTTCCTGTCTATAAAGAAGAAGAAGATCAAAATGGAATCTTCAAATCTAATTTGAAATGCTCGAGAGAGAGAGAGAGAAAGAGGGGAAGACGACGACCAACAATAATAAGAAGAAAAAGAAAAAAATCAATTTTGGACTTTGAAGACTGCACTTTGCTTGCTTAGGCCTCCAAAACAAACCTTCTTTCTCTAATCTCTATCTATCCATCTCCGCGTTTTGGGCGCGGGAGCTGCAATTTTTGTTGTTACCTTTTTTTTTTCTGATATAAATTTATGTCCCCGGCTTTAATTCTCGAGGTTTAGGAACGAATGAAATTTTACAATATTTTAAAGTATGGTTATCAACTTGTCACGTTGATGGTTCTCATCGTACAAACATGATCGACAATATCGATTTACAACTTCTAAGAAAAACAGTATAAACCCATTGATATTATTTGTTGGATTCAAGTATAAACGTTTAGGTATTGACGGTAATTGTTGTAATTAAATATGAGTACTTATTATTTTATTTGTAATTTTTTATCCTATTTAAATATGAATATGGATCATAATATAAATTTATTTATACTACACAATGAATTTGCATCTTTATATTAAGATACAAAATGAACTTTTATCATATAATAAATGCAAATTCTCTTATGATTAACTCTAGCTCTCACGAGCTGATTGGCTCTGGTGGGCCAACGCCCGGCCCATGCACCCACGTAAAAAGCCCACACCACCCTATTAAATTATTTCTTCTTGCCATTAATGAATTTGGGTTGTCTCCGTTTGCCATTAATTATTCCCCAAACAGTATTTTCACGTCGGGAAACTGCTCAAATTTTCCTTCTTACCCTTTTTTTTAGTTACCACAAACAATTTTGAATTCTGTCACCATCGGGGAATTTCTTAACCATCCGTTCTCCTATCTTCTTTTCTTGTTGTGCTGGCATATATATCCTCTCAAATAATAACCATCCGTAATAAAAGGCTAAGGACGAACAAGAAAAAGAAAGCAAGATGGCACTTTTTTTTATGGTGACCACTTCTTTCTTCGCCCTAAATAGCGATTCGATTGAGTTTTGGCCTTTCCACCTAGTTAACGAAATGAAAACTTCCACACACAAAATTAAGAAGAAAGAGAACTCTTGCCATATTTATAGGCTACATGGTGGTGGGTGAGTGACTGGGTTACATGTGGGACAATGACATGACTACTGATATGTCAGGGATTTAGGCCATGCTTTTAGGACCCTGCTTTTAGGACCCTGATGTGACTACTCCTGACTTAGGCAGGACTATACCTAGGACTATGATGGTGACTACCCGTTGGGTGACGCGGCGCCGCTTCTACAACTTCTCGATAAGGGTCCACGTCTGCGCAAAGCGTCGTCGTTTAGTGTTCGTGCGCGGCCTCGTGCGCGGCCTCCGGGTGTGGTCTTTTCCTGCGCGCTTGACTCCGGCGTGACTCGCGCGCTTGACTCCGGCGTGACTCGCGCGCTTGACTCCGGCGTGACTCGCGCGCTTGACTCCGGCGTGACTCGCGCGCTTGCCATTGGCGTGAGTATCCCTGGGTGCTTCTTCCGTGGGGTGAGATCCAAGTCACATGCCCAACAGTTAATTCGTAGATGTGCGTCGAATATCTCGTGAGTATGCTATTGTCCACTTTGCGTCAAACAATCACGAATTTAATTGTGGGTATCCTCTCCAGACACGTATATGCAAGGATAATTTCTCTTGTATTTCCTATGTGGTACCTGGATTGTACCATAACAATCTCTCCTCGAGAACAAGGACCGCGATCGTTGTGTGCTCTCTTAAGCGATTATCTTTATTCGCCAGACACCTTGTATCGATATTGCTCTTTGACACAAGGATTTACCTGATGCATATCTCCATTGATATGTAAGACACACACAAATCTTTATCGAATCAAACCAAACAAACACAAATCTCTTTTATGATCAGCCCTACAAATGCGGATCTGAAATCCCGAAGTCACCGAATGCGTGTCCACCGAACTGACGTACTTTTGAGTTCCTTCCTAAAATGCTTCGTATTAATTGGGTTATATGGATACTAATATATAAGAAATTTTCCCCTTGCATTTTCAATGTGATACTTGAATTGTGCTGAAATACATATTAAATGACCAAAATTCAAAAAAGGAATACGAATACTACCAGAGGTGGCAAATGGATTGGATTGGTGGATAGGATTGGTGGATCCATGGATCAAATGGATTGGATCTAATGGATTGGTGGATTCATGGATTGGATCAAGTGGATTGGTGGATTATCCATGAATCCAAATGACATCCTCAACCAAGGACCAATATGTAAAATGTAAAAAGTTTAGGTACTAAAATGTCACAATAAAAAATTTTAGGTACCAAAACGTAATTTTCCAATGATATTTTTCGGATAAAAAATAAATTTTAGGTACCAAAATGTAAAAAATAAAAATTATAGGTACTAAACCGTAGTTTGCCAATGATCCATGAATCCAATCCATGAATCCACCAATCCAATTGCATTTGGATCAAATGGATTGGATTTAAATGGATTGATGGATTGGATTGGTGGATTGGATTGAAATTACCACCTCTAAATACTACTATATACCTAACATAAGCCACATTACATATGCATGTATCAATCAAGGTCCTATATATAATTATTAATTTGGTTTTCCAAAGCGAGGAAGACATGTACACTAAAAGTATTATGAGATTGAGAGTTGATCTACGGTAGATCATCTACCCCATACCTAAGCTTTGATTAAACTCACTCCATCTTAAATTAAAGCCCACACCAAATCTAACCTACGGAATTGAATATAACGATTTGGTTTGAAGCCAATCATTTTTATACCGCCTAGTAGAAAAGAAGAGAGCACGCTGGCCTGCATTTTTAAGCAACATCTCGTGAAGATTGGTAGTCTCTTGGCTACTATTGTATCATTTGCTTGAGTCATTTGGTATCAAATGATTTGTTTGCTGACAAACAAAAAAAAAAATGTACGCATCATTTTATTAATACGAAAGTTTCAAATGATTCTATCAAATCATTTTCTAAATGCCTCCTATTCCAAATGACTCATTTACTAGACTAAAATTTTCAATTACGTTTTTGCCGCTTTATCATAAATCGGCTTCTATTCTTTCCATTCTATTATTTCCTTCCCCTAATCATTGGTTTGTCTCCTCACAAATTATTTATTTTCTTTTCGTCAAAGTTCACAAACATCACTAGTATTTGCAGGACATTCACATGGCTCTTTGTAATTAGTCTAAATGTGAGACTATAAACAAATTTAACATAAAATTATTATTTAATATGAGTAAAATAGTATTGTACATGGCTAGTAATGATTTGGTTTGTTGGCTGTTGGTTTTATTAGGATAGGAACAAGATAATGAAATATATTAAATACAAGGCGGCAAACTGTTAACATTATACAAATGACCCATTTGAGAATGAGTCATCTAAAAACTTTCAAACAAACAATACATTTACAAATATCTACATTTCTCAAATGTCTAAATTTAAGCAAATGAATCATTTTGTATATCATTCATACAAAATGACCTCTGTATCTCCTCCTTGAATTTAGTTTGATTGCTAAGATTTTACTCGAGATAAAACTTTTTCCAATGATGTTATAAGAACATTTTTATGAATCGAAATGGCTTGTTTTCGACGAGCAGATATGAAATGGCTGTTGTAGAATCGAATTGGAGTACTTCCTTTTAATATATTAAACATTCCATACCAACCGGAGAAGCTGAATTAGTCGATCAATTAATTTGATTTAGATACATGATCAGAAAAATGCGGCTTATTTAATTAAACACATTAACGATCATCGGTATCTTGATCCTATCCTATGTTTCAAGCAAGTGGGCGGCGTACGTATTATAGCCATATATATGATTGAAGTCGTCGAAGTGATCATCATACGACGATACTGCCAATAAATAGAATAAAATATTAATATGAACCTAAACCTCGGAATTCAGGAAGAAGGGCGGCGGGCGGGCGGCCGCGGGGGCTCACCGCCGCTCAAATACAATCCAACTTGCACTCTGTCAGCCGTATATATTTCATATATAATTATTATTATTATATATATGCGGAGTCCAGGCTGCAAATGAGCTGAGCTGTTCACGAGCGGCTCAGCGTTCGACTCGAGAAAAGCTCGTTCGAAACTCGGTTCGTTAATAAACGAGCCGAACACGAGCTCACCTTTGTTCAGCTCGTGAAGCTCGGTAGCTAGCTCGACTCGGTGGCTTGTTGAGCTAAACTCGTGAGCTGGCTCGTTAGAGCTCATGATATGTCTTAACATGTGGCAAGAGAGCCAACTCGATTACCAACTTATGGACGAATCAATCTATATCTTATAATTTTAATTCATATGGTTGTTAATTTATATATCTCACCATATATAAAGTTTTGCACGTTGAGTATGTGAGCAAATATATCTTATTTTCTACTTTAAAAAGAAATTATGCATCATAGATTGCTTCGATACAATGAAATAACATGATTTGGAGCAGTTAAAATTTATTAACTAAACGATATATGATACCAACAAAGTATAAAGTATAAGATGAGATTAACTAACAAAATAAATCATATGTATCATGATATACAAAATGAAGTACCAAATAAAAGTTAATATTTTAATAAACAAGCTAGCTCGAGCTCGACTCGACTCGGCTCGTTAATAAAAGAGCTGAGCTTGAGCTCGACTCGTTTATTAACGAGCCGAGCTTAAGTTGGGGTAAAACTCGACTCGACTCGGCTCATTTGCAGCTCTATGCGGACCCAGAGTTATATTGATGTGAGCGAGACTATAATCTTATGGTTGTCATGTTGGTGACATGTCGATCGGTTGAATCGAACTTAATCGTGATATCGGTTATAAAATCGATGAGAATGTTTGTGGTATAATCGGCATGACTAATTACCGATTGTTAAATATAATGACGATCTTTGGTGTAATTAGTTAATAATTTTATGTTGAATTCAAGAATACATATTTTTTAATAATAAAGTATGAATATTATTTGTTGGATTCAAGTACAAACTTGTGGATGTTGTTGTTAACAGATGCAAAAACAGTATAATACAATACGAAAAGGAAATCAAACACATACATATGAGTTTACGTGATATCCCTGGATATTATTCGATACTAATCCACAAAAGAGTTTTAAACGCTCTTCAGGCTACTGATTTTACTGTGACGAGTGATGAATGACAAGATATAGTCGGCCAATCTCCTTCACCCCCTATACATAAAAAAGTGCCCTAGATTTAGACTCTACCCACGTCTAACCGTGCATGGGCCTGCATGAGGTCTACGTATGGGCTTAATAAAATGGGCCCCAACTATAATTCGACTACAACACCAATAAACCGTAGCCATCGAACCCTTAATACGCCAACATCCTCCCCCAAATTGATGTCAATCTTTCAGCATCAATTTGTTCCCCAAATACCAGTGTCAACTAGTGGAGAAGGCCCTCGGGAATAGGCCAAC